GCAGGGCCCGCAGCCACACTTGACCACCACCTTGATGGGAAGGACGGACCCACGGCAGCGGATCTCCCGCGTCTCCATGCGCCGCACCCCGCAGCAGCGCCGCGCTCCCGCCCCGCACCGCTGCCCGTCAGCTGGGCTGCCAGCACACGGCGTGGATGGGCAGTGCCCCACGTCGTAGTAGCGGGACCCGCCGGCATCCTGCTGGCACTCAGCGGGCAGCTCGACCAGGCTGGGCTCTGGTGCTGCTTTGCAGCTCTGCTGGCCCTGGGCTGGGGGAGAGGGCAGAGAGGGGTTAAGGTCCCTATTCCATAGACATCCTGTGCTGCCAGCACCGTGCTCCTGCCCCACGTAGACCCCATCCCCGCTCACCCAGCACGGTGAGCTGTGCCGGCACAGATCGGATGGCTCCGGCCTCGGAGCTGGCCTTGCAGTGATAGCTGCCTGCCTGCTCCGGTGTCAGCGCCTGCAGCACCAGGCGGCTGCTGTAGCGGTGTGCTGTCCTGTCCAGCAGTGTCCCGTTGTGGTACCTGCAGGGAAGGGATGCGGTGAGTGGGGATGCAGCGGGTCCTCCTCGCCCCCTCTGCCCACACCCGCTCACCAGTAGTACTTCTTGGGCACGGGTGTCCCCGAGGCTTTGCAGCAGAAGGTCACCTCCTGCCCGGCCACCCGCACCTTCGGCGTGGGGTGCAGCACCATGTAGGGCTTCTCTGCAGGGGAAGGACCGGAGGGTGCAGCTGTGAAGCCCTCCCTGCTCCCCTCATCCCTCCATGGCACATCCATGGGGCGCAGTGCTCAGTGCTCACCCAACTTCTGCAGCACGATGTGTGCCACCAACAGCCCGGTGCCATTGGACACCACGGGTGCCAGTCCTGGAGCAAAACCATCACGGTGGGCGCTGACGTTTGCACCGATGTTCACACACAGCCCAGTCACACGAAATGCCCCACGCGTGTCACTGCGTGCCAGCAGCGCAGGTGGGCGTCCCTCCAGATAGACACGGGCACCGGGCAGCGCTGCACCAGCGGCGGAGACGACAGCGCCCTGCAGGGTGTGCTCGGGGCAGGCTGCGGGACGGCACGGCGCTGAGAGCTCACGGCCACCGGCACCAGCGGGGCCAAGCCGGGGTTGGAGGGGGACAGGATTCAGCATCTCTGCGTCCCCAGGGCAGGTACCTGGGCAGGGCGTGGGGGGACACTGCTGCACCTCGGAGGGGTGTCCGGCGCACAGCAGCTTCCGGGCGTTCTGGCAGCTCCGCCGGCGGACGCGCGTCCCGGTGCTGCCGCAGCTGCGGGAACAGGAACCCCACGCGCCCCACTCCGTCCACATCGGCTCTGCAGGGAGACGGCGAGGCGTCGGGCAGCAGCACCGCCCATGGGAGATGGGATGGGAGATGCAGGCAAGAGGGGGTCCCCACCCCACGAGGCCCCGTGCGGCTGCCGTGCCCCGTGCAGCCCCCGGCTCGGCCCCCCAACCCCCAGCCCGGCCCCCCGGCCCCTGCCAAGCTATTTTTATAAGCGCAGCCTCTGTGATTGCCATTAAGCCGACGATGTGCGGGCGGAGGCGCTGCGCCCGGGGCGTGCCGCGTGGGCTCGGGGGCGGCCGCTGCACGGACGCGGCCCCGCAGGACGGCCCGTGACCCATCGTGGGGCTCGGAGCCGGCGGGAGTGGGGGGGAGGAGGGTGCAGAGGAGCGCAGAACCTTCACCAGCAGAGCCAGAACGGGAGACCGCAGCCCAGCGCCGACATTCCTGCGGCCGGGGAAGGGCCGCCGATTGGCTCCGCCGCCGTCTCCTCCATCTCTTTAGGAACAGGAGGCGGCAGGTGGAGCCGTGGGAGTGGGGTCGGATCCGTGCGTGGGGAGAGGGGGGTGTCCGTACCTGGGCAGGGCCCGGTGCTGCACGGCCGCCGCTCCACCGCCTTGCCCCTGCATTTGAGCTCCTTCAGCGCGGTCACCACCTGCGCGTTGACGCAGCGGCGCCGGCGGCTCTGGGTCCCGCTGCTCCCGCAGGCGCTCCGCGAGCAGGGGCTCCAGGAGGACCAGTGAGACCAGTAGATGTGCTCTGGGGGGGGCAGAGGGGGTGACTGAGGGGGGCAGGTTCATGGGAACCCCTCGCCCCGGGACCGACTCCCCAGCAGCACTTCTCCCTCGGGTTGGTGCCGTCCGAGGGCGATGGGCTCGGATCCCCCCCCCGAGGTGCCGTCGGGGCCGGGGTCGGCACTCACCCAGCGGGCAGAGGAAGCGGATGTGGTAGTTGGAGCAGGTCTTGCCCTGCGGCTGCTCCTTGTTGACGCACCGAAAGCCCTTCTTGGGGCTGAAATGCACCACCTCGCCCACGTCCTGGGGCAGCTCCCACTCGGTGGTGCGCGCCTGGATGGCAACCGGCCGCGCGCAGACGCGTCCGCGGTAGTAGAAGCGGATGGCATCCAGGCTCTCGTAGTCGCCGTCCCCCCCGGGGTGGTCGATGTTGAACCACGACGTCCATTCAGCCCCTCCGCCTGTATGGAGCCCCCCGTGAGCGCACAACCCCCGTCCCTGAGCGTACCGATGTGGCCTCGGGTGCCACCGGGGGTGGGGAAGGGGCAGGGACATCCCGGTACGGCTCCGTGGGGACAAATGGGGGCTGCAAGGGAAAGGATGAGCAGACACAAGCAGCGGGCGCTGTGACACGGGGAGCCTGGGGGGTAGCTTCGCATCCCTACTGCAAGGGGGCAGTGCCATGGAAAAGCGTGATGTCCCCGGGGGGAGGGGGTGGCATGGGGGGCACTGCACTGCGCAGCCCCTTTGGGTGCTATGAGTAGAAGTGTCCCTGCACTGCCCTGGCTGTGGGTCCCCCATGCTGCGGTGTCCCCAGTGGCACGGTGTCCCCAATGGTTTGGTGTCCCCTGGATCCCCATGGTGTGGTGCCCCACACGGACTCAGGGACTGCTCTGTGGTTCTGTGTCGTACCTGCTGTGTTCAGGTCGAGCTCCTCTGGGCTGGGAGCTTTCCAGGGTTTCCCCAGTGCATCGTTCTTGCCGGGCTCCAAGTCGTTCTCCAGTGACTCTGCTGAGGGCATAGGGTGAGAGTCCCCAACAGTGGCTCACCCCATCGCCAGGGCTGTCACTGAGCCACAGACACCGACGTTGTGGTGTAAATCACATCTTTCTCCAGGCACGGGGCAGGTGGGGAGCATAGGGAAGGGTTTGGTGACAGTGGAGCAGAGGCTGCATGCTGGAAATGCTGCCCCAGGGTGACGCAGGGCGTTGAGCTGCCTCACTGAGGCCACGGCATGATCAACCCCCAGCAACCAGAGCAGACACGGCAGGAAATTGGGCTGGAGCACTGCAGCCTGGGGCTGGGTGAGCAGGAAAGCGGGTGGCACGGTGGGGATTCAGTGCCCGAGTCCCCCCCGCAAGGGGTCAGCTCAGGACATCCCCTCTTGCAGCAGCTGGGTGCAGTAATTGGGATTTCAGCCACGCAATGGGCACCGAGCGGCGGGATGGACAAACGGATCCCCAGAGAGGAGCTGGGATGTGCGGGGCTGTGCGGGGATTTCTGCGGGACGGTGACCAAAGGGGAGAACCGATGGACCCAGAGCAGCCCGGGGAGGTCTGCAGTGAGCTGATAAGCGTGCCCCGCGGGTGGCTGTCACCCCAGACAGGACGTGGCCCCCAGGACCATGAGCACACGGTGGGCACCCCCCCGCGAGGAGCATCCCTGTGCCGGCTGCAGCGCCACCCCGTCCCCATCCCCTGGGGACACGGCAGAGCCTGGTGGCAGAGCGCAGCGGGGACTGCAGCCCCTCGTCCTGCTGGGTGGGTGGATTTTCCCCCAGGTTCTGTCCTTGGCAGGGGGGCACATCCCCGGCTCCCTCGGGGAGGACGAAGCGCCCCGATGGGGGCAGCACAGCCCTAAGCATCGCCGACACATCCCGCTCGCAGGAGGGACGTTCCCAGCGGCTGTCTGACATCTGGCCCCGGCAAACATCTGGCGAGCCCCGGGGGCTGCCGTCCTTCCCACCAACGCCACCCCCAACCCCCGGCCCTGCGCCGCACCACGCAGGAAGGGCTTTCCCAGCCGCGTCCCTGGGATGCTGCTACAAAGGCTGAGGTCTCCTTACCTGCTGCCCCGGTGCAGCAAAAGGCGGCGAGAGCCAGGAGGGCCGGCAGCAGCCGCTCCATTGCTGCCCACGCACCGCTCCACCCGCGACTGCGAGCGCGGCCGCCTCGCAGGTCTATATAGGAGGGCTTTCCCCCTCGCGCCAGCAGACAGCAGAAATCGGATCCTGGCACTCAGGGCCGTCAGCTCCGCCGCGTTTGGCCCCGTGTCAGCAGGGAAGCGGGAAGGAGCCCTCAGCCCTCCCCGTGAGCCTGCAGCGCGCTGCCACGCGCCGCTCCAACCCGGGAAACTTGAGGGCTTGTTTTGCAAAGCTGCTAAAATTGGATGCACTTGGGAATGCAGTTGGGAGGGAAGGGGAAAAAAAGATGAAAAAGGCCCTTCCTCTGAGCTCATGCGGTCAGGGTCGGGGTGCCAGCGCTCCCTGGCACTGCTGTGCGTGGGCACGGCCGGTGGGTGCCCATGCTGTGACCTGGGCCACGTGTGCAGCTGTCAGCTGAGACTGTGAGCAACTCACTGCACCCGTGGCCCCCGGCACCCCCCAGGGTAGGAGGGGAACAGCCAGCAAAAGGCAGAGAGGAGGCATCGCCCCAGACTGTGGCCCCGTCCCCAGGTCCCTCTGTTCCCCACACTCAGGCTCCCAGAACTGGGATTTCTGGGGTCACCCAAACCCCGCATCATTCTGGGGCTGCGGACGCTTCCTCCCCATCAGCTGGCACAGGTAGAAGCAGCCCCAGCTCTGCCTCATCGCCATCCTCACCGTTAATCAAAACCTGGGGTTGTTTAGCCCTGTACCAAAGGGCTGCACCCCAAGCGGTGCCACACCGTGGGGACAACGCATCACGGGTACCAACGGGACCCACAGAGCCCCCCCATGCAGACACCGAGCCAGCCATCCCAGCACTTTATTGAGGGGCACTCAGGGCCACCACGCACTCGGTGCCCGGGTACTCAGGAAGGTTGAGCTCAAACTTCTTCTGCACGTCGTAGGGCACGAAGCGGCCGGCCACGAAGTGCTGACGGCCCAGGAAGCGGCGGGCGCACAGCTTGGGGGCCATCAGGGACACCAGCACGTCAGGGCTGATCCCACCACTGCTGCCCGCCTCCACGTCCCACCCTGCAATGGCACAGAGATGTGGGGAGGGGATCAGATGTGGGCAGGGGGTGGCGAGGTACGGGGATGGGGCTGGTGGGGTCCCCGTGGCACCCATAAGCACTGCTGCCCTGCAGCGCCCCGGCTGCGTCCTGGCACGGTGTGAGGTTGTGCTCGGTGGGAATTCACCAGCAGCTGTGCCCAGGGCTTCTGTTTGCTCCTCCGGCAGCAGGGGAGGAGTGGGGGGGTGATGGCAATTCCAGGCCTGGCCACCAGACACCCGGGTGTTTGCAAATTACATCATGTCTCAGTTCGGGGAGTTGGTTATTTGTTGGAGATGCCCTAAATGCATCCTCAGCCGTCAGCAGCACTCAGAGTGAACCACAGGGACGCTGCCGAGCCGGGGGTTGTGGGGGTCCCAAAGCTTCCCCCACCCCTCCTACACTGGGGATGATGCCTTTCCTAGGGGAAAAACTACCCTGGGGGTCCCCATACCTGAGGGCACGTCCAGGCTGACAATGGGGATGCGGACGTGTTTTAGGGTGGCAAGGATGCCAGCACAAGGCCCCCTGCCCTCACCCAGCTCCGCTTCAGCCCCCAGCACCGCATCCACCACCGCGTTGTAGGCATCGTTGATCAGCTGCACCTGGAGGGGGGGGGGGACACGATGGGCAGGTGGGGGGTCCCCAAGCTCCCCAGACCCCCATCCACCCACACACCCACCCAACCACAGAGCATGGAAACGCTGCCCATGGGGGCAGCCCTTTTCCAGCTGAACGGGATGCGCGCAGCGATTGCCAAAGTTCCCCCCACCAGGCAAAGGGAGGGGGATGCAGCGCGGCCAGGACAGCGATTTGAGGTCACATTCCTCCTCCGAGGGAATCCAACACTTCCAACAACAACAGCAGCCCCAGAGCTGTGGGCAGGGCCAGCAGCGAGCGTGGATCTCACCCCCCGTGGATGCTGGGGGAGATCAGCATCCTCGTAACACCCCAAAGTGCATCAGTGGGGACTGTGGGTGGGGGGCTCACCTCGGTGGGGAGGTACGAGAGGAAGGGGATGTCCATCTTCTCACACTGAGTGGTGAAGTCCCGGTACAGGGGGTCCAGGGAACGTTTGGGGTAGAAGATGGTGGGCTCATAGTCCTGCACAGCAGAGCAGTGTTGGACCCACGGAGGAGAAGGAGGAGGAGGAGGAGGGGGAGGAAGAGGTACCTACAAAGACGCGCAGGTGCCGTGCGCACACCAGCCCGATGGCCCCATTCTGCTCAGGGCCGCACACCACCAGCACTGTGGGCTGCTTCCGTGGCAGGGATGGCAGCGGGAAGGCCTGGGAGAGAGGAGCGGGGCGTCACCGCATCCCCCAGCCCTGGGGCGACAGGGGAAGGGGCCTGGGGGGAACCGCGGTGGGGATGCGATGCTGGGCGGCAACAGGTGAAAGGTGGGATGAGGCCAGTGCCTACAACGGGACGGCGGCGCCCATTATGGGATGGGGAAGGTGCCTGCTGTGGTTCAGGGCTCGTACCCACAGTGGGACAGGGCCGGTGCCCACAGCGGGTCGGGGCTCCCCGCCAGCCTGCTGGGAGGCGGCCGCGCTCCACATACCAGCAGCCGGCGAAGGGAGGCTCTGTTTATCCATTGACAGATTTTTTCCTGCTCACGCAGCCTGGCTCCTGCTTCCATCCAAACCTCGGAGCCCCGCGAGGCACCGCCAGTCCGCAGCCGCTGGACAGACCCCGCTCACCCAGCCCTGGCCCTGCTGCAGCGCTTGGCTGCGGCCCCGGAGCTGCGCTTCCAGCTGCCGTGTGGCTCCCAGGAATGCGCCGGGGGGAGCCCAGGGAGGGGACGATGCTGGGGGTATTGCATGGTTTGGGTCAGTGGGAGCTGTTCCCGTGTGGCTCCCAGCCCCACAAGGAGGTGGAGGAGGAAGAGGAGGAGGAGGAGGAGGAGGGTGCTCCCACTTATGGGGATGCTGCAATGTGGGGCCGCGCCAGCCTTGCCGACCACAGGATGCGTCGAAGATCCAACACCCAAATACTTCTGCTGCTTCAACAAAGTTCTGTGCCCTGAAAGAAGGGGAGGGCAGAGAGCAGCCCAGACACCTCGAATGGAAAAGCTGAGCCGGGAGCGGAGCTTGCTGCCCTCATGAAGCACAAAGCTGCCCTTGATGCTGCACCTTCACTCAGCCACGCTGCCCTGAGCATCACTGCCTCCGCTTCCTCACCCCTACACTGAGCAGTGCCAATGCCAGGCACCCGGGGAAGGGCTCAACTTCCCTTGCGGGGGACATAAGGGCCCAGTTGAGCCCAATTCACTGCAGGGAAAAGTGTTAACAGGATTGCAAAAAGCAATGGCAAAAAGTAATGGAGAAGCTGCAGCCCTGGGAATGGTGGGGATGGGGAGAGCAGCGCTGTCTGCTGGGTTCTGTCCCCTCCCTGGGGCTGTGGCTGTTCCCTGGTTCTGGGGCGAAACCAAGGCTGGGAAAACAAGGGATGGGATGGGATGGGATGGGATGGGATGGGATGGGATGGGATGGGATGGGATGGGGGTGGCAGAGCAGCCAGCAGTGAAGCCCCCCCTCACAAAGGGGGTCCTCAGCCCCACCGTCTGCCTCACCTTGGTGACGGCCACGGCGCAGGCGTGTCCCCAGATCTCGATCAGCTGCTGCCGCCCGAAGCGATAATCCTCCAGCAGCTCCTTCTCCATGGCCTCCGCCTCCGCCTTGCTGTGGGGCAGCGCGCAGCCGTGAGACCCCAGCAAAACCCCCTCCATCCCCAGCCAAGCAGGGCACCGCGGCAGGGACATCACCACCATTTTGGGGCAGGGGCTGCTCGTGGTTTGAGGGGGAGTTGGGGCAGGATGAGCAAAGGCGGCGCGGGGCTCAGGCACGCGCAGCACGGGGTCGCGGTCGCCTTTCGTGCGAGGCACGGCCCTGGCAGCAGCCCCAGGCTGAACGATCAGGCTGTTATATAAAGCTGAACAATGCTGCGGTTGTTCATCCGCTGCCGAGCCCGGGAGCTGGCAGGGCCGGGAGCTTCGGAATTGGACAATAATTGCTCACATCTGTTGGCTCACCTGCGCCGCGGATGGGAACAACATGTGCCGTTTCCAATCCGCTGCCGTTGCTTTTGTTATTGAAGGGACGGGGAAATTTGAGCCCTAGGAGAACCGACATCGGCTCCGGAGCTGTGGGGTGAGGTCCCACGGAGTGGCAGCACCTGTGGGTGCTGTGGGATGGGGGAACCCGGAGCTGTGGGGTGCGCAGTGGGTCTGCAATGGGACCGGAGCGCTGACGTTGGGTGCGTGCGTCACCCACACCTCGAGTGGTCACAGATTTGGGAGGGGACATCGGTGTGGTGCAGCCACCCCTGGGAGCTGGATGGGGACAGGAGGGGGTCCTGCTGGGCATGTGGTGCCAGGGACCTCATGTCACCCAGGCTGACCCCACAGACCTTACAGCCACCCCCTGGATGTCTGACAAAACCCCATAGACCCTACAGGTGTGACAGACCATGGCCATTCTGCCAGACCCCATAGACCCTGCAGACCCCATCTCCATCCACCCTCACAGACCCCATTGACCCACGCCCCCAGGGTGCTGGTTGACCCCACAGATACACAGCCCCCCAGATTCCCTCAGACCCCACAAGCTCTCAGTGCCCCGTCCGTCCTGTCCAACCCTCAACACTTCCCATCCCATCCCATCCCATCTCATCCCATCCCATCTCGTCCCCAATCCTTTGGTGCCCTCTAGTGAGCCCCAACCCGGCCCCAGCCCCACAGCGCGGGGCTGCGGGCAAACTGGGGGGCACAGGGACAGACCCAGCCCCGGGGTCCCCCCTCCCCCCCCCGCGTTGGCAGCAGCAGCCCCCGCGGGTTGGCCCCACCGCAGCTGTGTTGGCGCTCACTGAACAGAAGGCGAAGTTCTGACAAAAATCCGCGCTTTGGATCCAGGGGAGAACATTACCCGTAATTGCTGCTGGCAAAGCGTCCTGGGCCCCGGCCCAGGCTCGGTCCCGATGTTTTGGCATCGTCCCCCGGGGGGGGGGGACACGAGGGGCTCCGTGTCCCTGGCAGCCCCGCACTCACGTCCCCTCCAGCTGCGGACTTTTCGCTCCGCGTTCGCCACAGGACCGGGGGCAGCGCGGGGCTCAGGTGCTGCTCCGATCCCGGCTGGGAACCGGCAGAGCCCAGCACGGCCCGGGGTAACTCGGCCCTGGTGCCTCCCGCTGGGACCGGGGCTGGCGGCGGCCAGGACCCCACCGAAGAAGGGAGAGGTGCGAACGGACGAGAGCAGCCCCAGGCGTCACCTCCTGCCCACACTCCCCTCTCCGGGACCCCCCCGGAGCCTTGGGGAAGGGGCCGAGCCCCACAGGGCATCAGCTGCACCCTGGGGCTCTGCTCCCCTCATCTTCCTCCCTCTCCGTGTCCCGCATTGATACCTCAGCTCCACGTGCACCTCCACCCCGCTTCGCATTCCTCTCCCACCCCACTGCGGAACCCCCCTCTGCCCGCACTCCCCACCCCGAGGCTGCTGATGCCGGAGCCGTCCCCGCCGCAGCCATGGAGACCCGGGATGCGGTTGCTTTGGCAACAGCGGCTATTTGGGTACCAGCCCCCTCCGCCCCCGCGGCTCTCGGGGCTGGGGAGTGAGGAGCCGGGCTGGGACCGCCCCGGGGACACGCGTGAGGGCTCCGCGTCCCCACCCGGAGAGGAGCAGCGCGGGGTTCGCTCCCGTCGCCGGGACCCAGAGACCCTCCAGCACCGCCCGGTGGGTCCGGAGCATCAGAGTCCCCCCGGATCCCTTTCACATCCCGCAGGACCACGCTGGGCAGGACCGGACACGAGGTGCTGGATGTGGGCACAGCGGGATCCCCGCAGCCTCTCCAGGGGCTCCCGAGGGGCGGTGCGGGGCTCACCTGAGGTATCGCGGGGGCTCCCGGGAAGGACCGGGACCGGAGCTCATGATGGGCACCGACCGGGACGGGAAGAGCGGGATGAGCCCTGCGGGAGCAGTGGCAGCGATGGTCCCTACAGCGCTTTGCGGTGCCGCCCGGTGGGAGGCGGCTCTGGCTGCCCCCGCCCCAGCCGGGTTCCCCCCCGCCACTCTCGTCCCCCGCGGGCGGTGCTGCCGGGAGGGCTGCAGAGAAACCCCGCAGGCATTGTGGAAGCGCCAGGGATGCCCGAGCCCTCCCAGGACACGGCGCCTTCCCTCTTCCAAGCACCAGAACCCAGCGGGATTTCAGCCCCGCTCCCTGCAGACGCTGCACGAGGGCTGCCCTCAAAGTCCTTGGGACCTCCAAACCCCAACAATCGCGACGCCGAGGGACCCATTCCCACTGTGACTGCAGGCACTCAGCCCCGCTGGGCACTTGGGCAGCCTCTCACAGCCCTTCCCCTGCTCCCACCACCGCCGCCAGCAGCCCCAGCAACAAAGACAGGGGCAGCACCACAATCCCACCCCACACAGCTCTGCTGCAGCCTCGTGATGCTGCCGGGCAGGGAGCGCCCCACCAGGTTTCCGACCAGAGAGAAAGGAGTGGAGCACACACAGCTCGCCGGGTACCCGCACAGGTTTAATGCTGAGCCCCCCGCAGCCCCGTGGGGCCGCCATTCAGACGTAGTACTGCAGCCCAAACTTCTCGTTGTCCATCTCGGCAGACGGGCGCAGGTAGTAGAGCTCATCCACCGTCGGGGGCACCCAGCGGTCGGTGTGGAACAGGGACTCGCCAACCTGGGGGGGCAGAGAGCACTGGAGGGGACACACGGGGACGGCCGAGGGGCTCAGTTCAGGGCTGAGATCGTGTGAGGAGGAAAATGGGCGCCCCCCACCACAGCTCCAGCAGCAAAGCACCCGCACCCACCCATAACAGATGCTCCCAAGGGACTCCCAGACCCACGGGTGAACCCCCTGCCCCTCAATGTGCGTCCTACAGCACGGAGCCCAGCAGGACGCACACCCTCAGTGCCCCGAGCCCAAACCTTCCAACCGGGAACGTCCTTCATGATCTTGGCCTCCTCATCCAGGTTCTGCCGCATGAGGCGCAGGGTTCTGCAAGAGGAGGATCCGTGCTGCCGGCGGGTTCCTCACACTACAGCCGTGCCTCCCCCCCCCCCCCCCCAATGGGCCGAGCCCCGCGCTGCCCCCTCCGTACCTGCGGTCCGACTCTGCCTGCAGCAGCGGCAACAGCGCGATGCGCGCCTCCAGCTCCTCGATCAGCAGCCGCCTGCGGGGGGAGGCGGTCAGGGGGAGAGAGGGATGGGGGGAATTGGGAGCGATGTCCCGGGTAGGGGAAGGGAGCGCGAGGTGAGAGCGAGGGGAGGACCGGGAAAGGCCCGAAGGAAGCGGGAGGGGCCCGCGGTGCACCTGCGCTCCCGGTTCCACTTGATGATGGTGTAGTAGCCCAGCAGGAGGCTGCCGACACCGAGCGCGAAGAGGCTGTAACCTGCGGGCGGGGCGTTAGGAGCACCGGGAGCAGCGCGAGCACCGGCAGCACCGCGCCCGGCCGCCCCCACAGGGTTTCCCGGTGCCCCCCTCCCCAACCTGAGAGGCCGCGGCGCGGGAGGTGCCGCTTGTAATCGATGGGGCCGTAACCGCCCGGCGGCGGCATGTCCTGCTTCACCTTCGGCGCCGCCATCCCGGCAGCCGCGCTACAGCACTTCCGCCGAGCGCTACGTCACTTCCGCCGCCCTCACCGGAAGCGCTCTGTAGTGGGAGCGCTGCGCGAGAGCGCCCCCACCCCACGGACCTCCCGCCGAGCGCGGCGGCCTTAAAGGGGAAACGGCACCGAGGAGTCGGTGGGCCCCACCCGGTGCGGAGCGCGCAGCTGAACGCTCGGGTAAATTTCCGTATGTGCCGAAATGTGCGCGCACGAGCACGCGCGCAGCAAAATGCGTGCCAGAGAGCGCGCACGCAGGTGCGCGCACGGAAAGCGCTCAAAGCTCAGCACCCCCGACCCCCTTCCCCCCACCCCCGGGCGGCCGCGCTGCAGATCGAGGTCACCCCCAAGCCCCCGCCCCCTTAAACCCTAATCGCACCCTAATCCCGCGGCGGCCGTTAATGAGCGCAGATGGCGGCGGAGGTGGGGGGGGTGAAGGGGGAGCGGCGCTGGGTGCGGGGTCTCAGAGCGCTGTGCTGAGACGGAGCCCGAGAAGCGGGGTTTTGGAGGATTGGAGCGGAGGGAGCAGCGCTGGGAGCCGCACGTTGGTATTCACAACCGCGGATATTGAAGTTATCCCAAAGGAATGGAAAGAAATCGCTGCTCCGTAACTTCGCCGCTGTGCGATTGGAGCAGCGCCGGCCGGCCGTTACAAACGCCGCACAACAGTGGGGCTGCGCTCCTGCTCGGCGTGGGCTTCGTTTGCCGGGGGTTTTGCTGCTGTGCCCGCCCTGCTGAGCGCTGTGCTCGGGGATGCGGTGCTCCCAAAGCCTCGGCTCTGCCCGCTCTGTGACGCCAAACGGGGTTGGTTGTTCCCGCTGTCACCAAACCGCTTCCCTCCCCGTTGTCCCGCGCACTGAGCGGGGTCCGTTGGTCTGTGCAGAACGATGGGAGCTCAGACATGGAGTGCGATGGAAGGGCTGAGACCATCTGCAGCTTTTCAGTTCTGTTTGTGAAAATCCACACCGGTTCCATCTCCTCCCCATCCTCCATTGTGGGTTTGGGAGAAGCGACTGCACTCCTCGGGGGGAGGAGTGGGCAGTGATGGAGATCTACACAGCACCTGCAATCCACCACCATCATCGCCGTCATCATCAGCACCACAACACTGCCATCACTGACAGCATCACCATTGTCGTCACCAGCGCCATCCCCACCATCATCACTGACACCTCCATGACCACCACCATCGTTGACACCACCACAACCACCGCTGCCATCACCACCATCAACACTGCAACCACAACCACCATTGACATCATCACCATCATCACTGCCATCGCCATGACCACCACAACCATCACTGCCACCAACATCCCCATCATCACAGCCACCATCATGGCCACCATTGCCATCACTGACACCACTGCCATCACTGATATCACAACCATCACTGCCATCACCACCGCCACCACTGCCACCACCATTGACACCACCTTTGCCATTGTTGGTACCAACACCACCATCATCACTGACACCACCAACGACCACCTCAATCATCATCACCACCACCATTGACATCACCATCATCACCGATGCCACCATGACCACCATCACCATCGTTGACATCACTGCCATCAATGACACCACCACAACCACCCCGCCATCATCATCATCACCACCACCATCATCACTGACATCACCACAACCACCATCACCATCACTGACACCACTGCCATCATTGATACCTTGACCACCACTGACTGCCATTACTGACACCAACACCACCATCAGACACCACCGTGGCCACCACTGATGCCACCATGACCACCATCACCATCACTGACACCACTGCCATCAATGACACCACCACAATCACCCCTGCCATCATCATCATCATCATCACCACCACCATCATCACTGACATCACCACAACCACCATCACCATCATTGACACCACTGCCATCAATGACGTCACCACAACCACTCAGTCATCATCACCACCATTGACATCACCATCATCACCGACGCCACCATGACCACCATCACCATCATTGACATCACTGCCATCATTGATACCTTGACCACCACTGCCATCACTGACACCAACACCACCCTTGACACCACCGTTGCCATCATCGCCACCAACACCACCATCAGACACCACCGTGGCCACCACTGATGCCACCATGACCACCATCACCATCACTGACACCACTGCCATCAATGACACCACCACAACCACCCCGCCATCATCATCATCACCACCGCCATCATCACTGACATCACCACAACCACCATCACCATCATTGACACCACTGCCATCATTGATACCTTGACCACCACTGACTGCCATCACTGACACCAACACCACCATCACTGACACCACCGTGGCCACCACTGATGCCACCATGACCACCATCACCATCATTGACACCGCTGCCACCATCGTCACCACCACCACCATTAACACCACCCCCACCCCCGCCCCCCATCCACCCCAGGCCCCCAATGACAGCCAGACACAGGACTTTGTCCACTTGTTTATTGTCATCCAAACACCAAAACCCCCCTCACAACACAACGCACAGTTATTGAGTTCAGGTTCTTCCTCCCTTGGGGACGATCAGTGGGAACTTTTTTTTCTTTTTAAAGTTTTGATATATATATCTTTTTTTTTTTTTTTTCATCAAAAGATTTAGAGTCACAATAAACACGAGTGACAAAACCAAACCCTGCGCTGCTGTAACCTCACTGTTACACTTTGTTAATGATTATAAATCCTTCTCATTAAAAAAAAAAAAGCACAATGCAAATCGTTCCGCTGAAAGGCGACACACAGCGTAACTGCCTTAAGCAGACAAACACTCCTGCGGTTCCTTGAGGTTCTTTTTTGCATCATATATATATATATTTATATCTTTATCATTAAAAAAGTCGCCTTCTGCTCCCTCTCCTTCGGAAAGGAGGTGATAAAGGCTCTGAACGCAGTGGCTCTGATCCCTCCTGCAGCCCACATCCCCTCTTCCCAATCCTTTGCTGCCCTTTGGCCATTTTTTTTTCCCCTCCTTAGTAAGCAAAAATAAAACAGGGACGGCGAGGTCTGACGATTCGGAGGCAAAGGCTCCTAAAACGATCAGAAAAACGGGAAAAGAAGCAAAGAAACCCGCGGCACTGAGCTACTGGGAGGGCAGCGTTAAGCCAGCATCTTCCTCAGCAGCCCGGCAGGGACGCCGTGCGTGGCACAACGAGGAGCGCAGCCCCAGGGCCACGCCGTCACCGGGCTGCCCTGAGCGCCGCCTGGGCAATAAATTAAGCCGTAATTATAACAACCCCCCCCTCCCGCCCAAAAAAACCAAATAATTAACAAACCACACGGCTCCCAGAATCGCAACACTGGTTTCAAATGAAAATCAGGGGTTTATTTCACAAGTCGCTAAAATCTAAGTACAATAAGTCATCGGCGTTTATTACTGTATTATAAAATCTCGTAGTTGCAACGTCTCCGAGAAAGGTTATATGGCTTGCGAGAACCAACGCTGCTCTCAGCCTCTCCCCAGGAGAGGTGGAAGCCTGCAGCACCGTCCCCGGCTCATGCAGCGCCGTGCAGCGAAGCGGCGGCCGGCCTTTGTTCGGAGCTCTGCCCGCAGTGCAGCGGGGGCCCTTCGGTGCCGGCAGCCCAGCAGCGGCAGCGCGGAGCGGAGGTTTGTTCCGCACGGCTCCTCCGCCGCCGCCCCCAGCGGCGTCACCTCGAGGCGCAGCGCCGCTCTGGGACAATTCCGTCCCAATTCCGTCCCAATTCCGCCCCAATTCCGTCCCAATTCCAGCCCACCGAGCTGTTCTGCTTTTGCCTTTTTCTCCTCTTTGCTCTGGCAGGGGAGCAGGAGATGCCCGCGCAGCGCGGCGCTGAGCAGAACAACGCAGCCCCGGCCGTGCAGCGAGGCTCAGCGCTCGCGTTCTGCCGCAGCAGCCGGGCAGGGCTTTGCAGCGACACATGCAATAAATATGGAAGTTACCTGCAGCGCTCCAAGAACCACAGATAAAAAACGATGTCAGACCGGCTCTGGATGCCAGCAGCGATGGCTGGGCTGGATCTGTGGGTTAAAACCCTCCTGGAGCAACGCTGCCCCAACGCACAGCGCTCGCGGGGCCCCTCGGTTTATCGAATCAAAGCTCGCTGTGGTCCAGCATCGCGAGGGAGCAGCGTTTGCAAGATGCTCCGCGCTTTGTGCTCTCGGTTCTGAGCTGTCTCCCATCGCACTGAGCTCAGTGCCAGGTCTCCCCTGCGGGCCGCGCTGGAACAGGAGGAGCTGCTGTGCCCAAACAGGCGCTGACATCGCTTTTCACCCGGGTGCTTTTCATACTTCTGCCCCTCTTTCCACTCCCTCTTTCCCAGCTGTGACACACAAAGCAGACGTCGCTCCTCCCCCCCCGACGCATCTGCATTTCAAATGGAGAGAAGTTTTGCTTTTTTTCCTTCTGGACGAACAAGGTCTCCCTCCCCAGGCCAGGTTTCAGCTCTGTTCTGGTGGTAATGCAGGCATTGGTCAGAAGAGAGAAAAATAAAATAAAATACAAGAAAACTCCACACGTGTAAAGAACTGAAACAATTCTGTAATATTTCAAAGTGCAAAAATAAAATGCACTCCATTTCTCTCTCTCTCTCTCTCTCTCCACATCTCCCGATCCAAAATACCCCGGAATGAAAAGAAAAATGAACCCAACACAATGAATTCCTCTCGTGCCCAGTTCGCTCTTGATTTACATTTGTAAAACAAACAGAGGAAAAAAACAAAACAAAGTCAAATTGAAATCCTAGGGCTTTATACAGCAACAAAGACCGTTTTGCAAAACTAGGCTCTCTAGGCTACCCAACAGTTTCCAAAGTATCTAAATATTGATATTCACACAACAGAACAGGGGCTCAAATGGACGAGTCCTCTTTCCCACTATGCCACGGCTCGACCTGGGGACGGCCCTGCGCAGAGGCTGCTTCAGACTGAGATCCAACAGCAGCTGCTAAGAAAATAAGACCCAGCACAGGGGCTGAGTCGCGCCCCCTCCCCCTTTTTTCTTTCATATATAGATATATAGATATATATATAATTCTGCAAATAATTCTCATCAGCACTACTTCCAGCACTGATATGCAACGTAAGTAGTAAGGCAAAGTCTTTCTGCCACTCGAACTGGACGTGAATTTGGGAGAAGCGCGGGGAAGAAGGAGAGAAGATGACGAGGAGACAAACCGGACCTGAGGGAGCTGGGCTGAAAACCTGTGGAAATCCCCGAAATATATTAAAACCACGTAGAAACCTGTCCTTAAAGCAGGGTCACCTAAAGCTCTATCAAAACGCAATACTGCAGCGGCCGGGGAGCGGCTGGGGGGGGAGCAGCGGGCGCAGCGTTCAGCACAGCCACGGCCCCCATCCTTCTGCTCGCCCTTCTGACTGCGTCTGCAGCTCCTGCAGCTCCTGGATTTGGAGTAAAATCGCTCAAAACAACAAAAAAACCTCCAAAAAAAAAGGAAAAAAAGGAAAAAAAAAAAAAAAAAGGAAATAATAATAATCCCAAACAGTTTCACTCGTTCAAGTCCTCTGGGAACGTAAGAAAGGCCCAACTGCTCTCGGCTGAATTAGAAAGATCGAACAAAAGGTGTTTTGTCTATGCAGTAAATTAGATTTTTAGACTACCAGCAGTTCAAAGTCTATTCCAAACAGAATCCAACAGAAGTGAGAGGCTCCTGCACGGGGTCCCACCCACCGGACGGGTTGCGGTGGCACCAGTCCCTTAGAAAACAACAGACTCGAGTGGAATTTCAGTTTGCTTATTTATCATTAGCTCATCATCAGCGGATTTTTGAGACATTATCATCTGCAGGCTGCCTTCCTGGCTGAGGAGGGGCAGGGAAGTAAAGCAAACATGACCTCGGCTCACTAAATGTGTCTGCAGGACAGGTGGGAGCTGCTCTCCCCAGGCCACCATCCACGCTCCGTGGTGAACCAAGAAACCGAAGGCAGAGTCACTCAGTCCTCCTCTTGTGCTGGTGACAAAGAAAATCCAAACTAAAATGTATAAAGCCCAAAAAATAAGAATTCTTCCCCTTCCCTGACAGCCTTCATTATCAGTCAGTCACAAGGATCTGATAACCAAAGGAGCTCGAGTCTTTCCCACCCACGCGGCGTCGTTTCTCATAGCAGGGACAGCAGCACTCGATGGCATGAGGAGTGGTCTTCTCGCATCCTATAAAGCCTGGGGCGTATCCAGCTGGGATTAAAGCAGATTCCACTGTCGTGTGGTATAAAAAGGATGGCAGAAACAGGAAAGTCTTCCTCTCGGGCGTTCCTCTGCATTATTTCCACGTGGCAGACTGTGGGATGGACCGCGGGGGGATCATATCCAGCAGATACTCACGCTGGCGGTCTACTGCCGAGGAGGACTTGTGCACAGCTAGACTGGGGCTAACAAAGGGCAGAGCCCCACCTGGGGAGACACAACAGAGAAGAGAGGATGAAGGTCACAGCACGGTGAAACCAGCGGCAAATAAGCACCACTCCCCTTTAACCTGCACAAAAACAAGTAATGGAAGTGGGCCCGCAGCAACTCGTGTGCTACAGAAGGTCAGAACCTCCAAAGGTCCAACATCAGCCAAGCCAACAGCACTAAGGTTTCGTATCAGAAATGAAGAGTTGAGCAGACTTGGGCTCTCTGCAATGAAATCGTGCTGAAGTGGTAAATTAAGCTGTCAGGAGGAAAAAATATAAACCATTCAATACTGAGCATGAAAGTAGATCAGAAGGCAGCCAATTGCTATGCTGCTTCCTTCCTGGAGATCCTAATGATCACTTAAAAATAAATAGCTCCACAGTCAGATTCTTACATACAGAAGAGATTAAATAAGAATTTAACTTTCAATCTGTTCCAAACAACAGCTTCAGTTGGTTCAGGTCCTGCAGAACGCTGCGAGGATGTGCTGCAGCCTCACCTGCAGCAAAACCATTCCTTTACTTGATGTGCTTTGATGCGACCTGACCAAACTCAGGTCCCAGAAACGCACAACAAACCCCAGCAGCGTGGCACTGACTGCACAAAGCCACCAAAGAGCATCTGACAGTACGTTATCCAGGCTGCTTACGGCTCTGTAAAGCAGCAGCTTTTGCTCGTGCCTCCTTTGAGGAGCTCAAACCGCAGCAGAAGCCAAGGCTTCAACACCCAGACTGAGAGCACAGCCTGGGGACAGCCAGGAAAAAGCATCCTTCCCCAAAGAGCTGTTGGACAGATTGCAGCTAATAAGCAGAAAGAAAAGAAAAGAAATTTCAGAAAGAAATCTACCTGTGTTGATGGGAGTCTTCTTCCAGGCGGCAGCACTGCCCTTGCTGACAGGTCTCTCAGCATGCTTACCTGGCCTACTCCCAAGTGCTGCTGCAGACGAGGCATTCTGCAACTTGGGTGACTGGCTAAATGCATGCAACACCCCCCGTGGGGCTCCAGAGCCTCGAGACATCTGGCTAGAAGTCTGGATAGAGAGCAGACAGTCAGACAGGCACAGGGAGAATCCCTCCTTCACCCCCCAGAGCCTCGGCCAACATTTACTGCCTGACTTTTCTCGCCTTCCTCTGCCAAACCCAGAATGAGCTATTAGTCCCAGGTCTGAAAACCTCTAAAACATCTCTAAATCAAACCAAGAGATCAGTTTTGTGTTCCTGAAAGTAGCTGTAAGAACGCAGAAAGATGTGCTGGGTAAGCACCTCTAACACCAGCATCTCCTCTGCCTAAAGAATCGGTGCCTTGCTTATTTCAACTCAAAGCAGCACCTGAGCTGACTCTTCCCAACTAAGAGGTGGTTTTATAAGCTGTGTGAGATGCAGTTTCCACCACAGATGACGGCTGCCCGTTACCTCAAAGCTTCACAACCACCACCACAAGCTCCCAGCTCAGCTCCCTACCTGAGCTACATTTATTCCCATGTATTTAGCACTGGAGCAAGTCTTTTTCATTTCATTTCATCCTAAAGAAAACAGAGATGGGGCTTCGTGCAGCCAGAGCCTCACCTGCTTGAGCGAGTGGTGCTGCACGATGGGGTCTGACTTGCTCTGTACAGGAGATGCAGTCTGTTGCAGTATCCTCTGCTCAATCTCCTGCTCCTGCTGCAGAGCTTTGACGAAGGCAGCCTTCAGCCTGTTGGTGTGCTCTGCTTTCAAGGCCTTTTTCTGATTGGATGTCATACAGGTTTCACACATGATGGTTCCGTTCTTCTCCTCCCTCCAGCGGCAGGTGAAGTCAGTCTTACACTGAGCACACATGTAGGGCTCACGGGATGAAACAGGGATGGAAACTTTACCTGCAGGACACAGCCAGGTGAGCTCAGCTCCAGCTCTCATTTCTACAAGTCACCTACGACAAGCCTCCAGATTCTCCATCACCAAAAACACACCACCTTCCACTCCTCCCCCTCCCTCCTCAGCCTTTTGCACTATCAGACGTTCTTTTGGCTCCCTTTGTTGGTGTGCAGGCATCCTGCAGATCCTTCTTTCCTCACCCTCCTCAAACCATCCTGAATGGCAAGACACACTGCAGAAATCAGGGAGTGAGGCAAGAGAACTGGTGCTATTTGTTGAGACAAAATCTGCTCAACTGTTTACTTTGACAGTTACGAAACACCTGACAGAGAGGTCTGCAGCCTAGAAGGGACAAGGAGAGCCTGTAACCAACTCAGATTTTCTTCTTGTCTTCTGCATGGACTCGGCAACAGAGCTGGAGTTTTCATTTGTTTGGAGGCAGTTCCTCCAGGACACCACTCTCATTTCTCCCCAGGAACATCCCTTCATCTGCTGACAACGCAGATGGAGAACACCGTGGTGATGCATAAACCTGGATGACAGGAAGTCACCTGCACCAGGGAGAACTGAACCACTGCCCAGCCTCTGGGAAATCCCAGCACCGTGCAGCTCTACACCTTTACAGGTACAGCAAGTTGAAAGCTGGGGATGGAAGCGAGCCCCAGATTAGACAGATTAGTCCTGGAAAGCCTGACTTGCTGCCTGCTGTTCCCATCACGGATGGGAAAGGTTCTCTCCTCACTTTTGGGGAACTGCCATCTCACCTTGAGTTTCCAGCAAATTCTGCACAACTTCCTCCAATCCAACTAGGTAAATAAATTCGTTATTAGCCGCGCTGGGCAGGAAGTTCATCTCTGGAGCAGGTGGCTTTGGAGGAGGGATCTCCAGCAGTGTCTTCTCCAGCTGCTTCCGCAGCGCCAGCTTGGCTGCAGCCTGCCGGCTGGCGGGCGACTCGTTGGAGTTGACGATGGAAGCGGCGCTGGTGGAGGTGGCATTGGCCTGAGCTGATGTCACTGTTGTACCTTTGATTGAAGTTGGAGAGGCCTTGGAGGAAAGAAGACAGAGTTTAGTGACGTGCCGGGGCACCTCGGTACAGCAGGGCTGTGCTGGGGGGCAACGAGCAGCGATCAGGAGTTGGGACTCAGTGACTCCCATCAGCTGGGGGTGCTCCATGAGTACCTTCAAGGTGCTCAGGGGGGGCACTGGACAGCCTGCCCCTAAAGCTCACTTCTGCAGTGACCAACAGGTCGCAGTATTGACATTTATTGCAATGAATTGGCATTTATTGCAACAGTGTGCCACCCATTACACACATTACTTATCACCCAACCCTCCAATTCCTTCACAAGGAACTGACTTTTCTTTCTTATCAATTCGATCACACAGATTTGGAGATTTGAAAGGAAAGGGGTACTTTAAACCGCTTTCATCCACAGTTTTTACACAACATCAGCACCAGCAGGATCTGCAGGCTGCTCAAGACAGAAGCCCACCCTGAGCTGTGCTCACGAGAACGAAGAGAGACCAAAAACCCCCCATGTTTCCATCCGCATCCAAACCCCGAGTGCAAAATGAGCTCCGCACTCAACGTTCCATTTGGCACAGAGGATTTTGCAGGATTTTTTGGCACAGAGGATTTTGCAGTGCTCACCTGCGGGATGTTGACGATCAGGCTGGTATTGGGGACGTTGGCCACACGGATCAGACCCTGCTGGATAATTCTCTGCCCCTGAATTTGCACGCTGGGGACCGAGGCCCGCGGTGCCAGCAGCAGCGGAGGCGGCCCCGTGCTGGAGTGCTGTCGGATGTTGTGGATTTGCTGGGAAGACACAGAAAACGGGTTGATGCAAAGGTCAGACAGCAGGAGAAAAGCGTGGGGAGTCAATGGGACGGGAAGGGAAGGCCAAGAAAGCTCAACAAGCGTCTGTGTCAGAATGGGATGCTCCTCCCTTTCAAAACAAAGCAACTGGAACGTGGCGTCAAAAGAGGTGCTCCTATGAGAAGCCATCACACGCTGCAGGCTGGAGAGCCGTGCCAAAAATGCAAAGTTCCCACGTCAGATTTCTTCTAGAAGGTCTGCCTGTTGAGCCTGTTTCATTTTAAAGGCGTTAGGAAAGCTGTTCCTCAGAATGAGGTTTTCCCCGTATCGGAACAGAAAGCAGATGAACCCCCAAGTGCTCTGCCTTCCCCTTAATGCTGGCTATGCAGTAGATAAAAGCAGACCTTCTGCTACAAAATAAAGCCTCACTGAACAAGAAAATATTGTTTTCCTCAGTTCCCCACAGAAGCCTAAAGTCCAGAAGGCCAAATGCAATTAAGCTTTGCTTTCCTACTCCTTCAGTGACACCACAGGTGATAAAGACCCTGCAAAGCAGCACTTCCCCATTTCCAGCTATCTCATTTCAGCAGCTCTTATTCAACCTGAAGGCAGACACGATTTGAGCAAATTAAAAAAAAAAAAAAAAAGGGGAGTTTTCATGTTTGAAATGGTGGAATTGATACAACAGAAAGAATAATGAGGAAAGAAAGATGGAAGAGTGAGGGATTGCAGTTTGTTTCCTCTGCTGCTGCTCGCCCAGGCAGAGGGTGAAGCTGGGAGCCCCTCCATCAGCTCTTGTAATAAAGCAAGCAGGTGCCTCTGGGGCAACCAGGGGAGGACAGTGTGGGTAAGGCAGCATCCTGCATCACCGTGGGGCTTCCCATGTTCACTGGGAGTGCTATGGGACAGCAAGACAAGCAGGAGCTGCAACGGCCCTTCAGTGGCAATATGCCTCTATTAAGCAGTGAATGAAAGCTATGAAGGATCCTTCCAGCTAAGCAGAATGACAGCTGAGGAAACATTTCAGACGCACTCAGGAAAAACAGAACAGATCTACCAGGAAGGAAATACCTGTGCTCCTCTGACAAGAGGTGGCATTACTATCTGCGTGTTTTGCTGGGTTCCTAATTTTGCAGAGGTCTGCTGCCCACCACGAACCAACGGAGGAGGAATAACAGTGCCTGGTATACGTGTAGAAGAGGTCTGAAAAACAGAGGACAGTTTACTTGCATGTTTCATCCCGGTGCATTTGGATGCATGCTCTCTTCTGCTCGGAGCACCAAAAAAAGCAGTATCCAAAACGTTACTCAGCAATACAGACATCAGAACGCAGAGGTGGGCAGGCTGTGTGCTCAGGGGCTGCTCTCTCACGCTCTGCACAGAGTTCAACATGTAAAGAGCAGCCCTGAAAGACGTCTCCATCCACCCCCCCCCCCCGCGCAGCTCAAGAACCACTGCACTGAGAGACACAGGGAGCCACGCTGCAACAGGAGCACGGTGTGCATGAGAGCAGCTCTCCTCAGTGCCTGATGTGATGAATGCTATCTGCCTTCAGCACGAGGACAGCAAAGGCTGCAGCACAGGACACAGCCAGGCTGGCTTCAGCACAGCTAGCGTTCCAAGCAAACAGTGAAGAGCAACTTTATGTTCTGGAAGGATGAAGGAACGGGGGGCCATACACAGTGCTGGCTCCGAGGAGAAGCAAAGGGCAGACAGAAGCTGGGGATGCAGGAGGCTGGGGGGGTTTGGCACAGGCATGTGTGCAAGAAGGAAAGAAAAGGGGAAAAAAAAAAAGAAGTCAAGCTAGAGAGGCCTGAAACACCACCGACCATCTTTTTTGAGCTGTGGACTGTAATACATCTTGGAAGTTTCTCATAACGCAGCCAAAGGTTTCATGCATCACTTACAGTCCTGCAGAGCACGACGCAGCCTCGTCTGGAAGCGCTGCTCAGAGCAGCAAACCCTGCTCACGGGGCTCTGCACGTCCACCACCCCGCTCACCCCGACCCCAAACTGACCATCATCCCCCCAGGTAAGATCTGCACACACCGGAGCTCTCGCATCCACGAGCTCCCAATGCGTGCACACACGTGCTGAGGATGGGGGAAGCTCAATCCCCTTCTTTACGCCCCCCAATTGGAGACCAAATGTTAACTCCTACACGCAGGAATTAAAGAGACAACCAAAGCAGATGGAGGTGAGATTCATTTGCCCAAACACCACGAACGAGAGCGAGAAACTGAACTCAGGATCCGCAGCTCCCAGCTCTCTGCTCTGCCCACTGGCACACACACACACACAGCTGCAGGCTCGCAGCCCACGTGTGGGGATTTAAGTCGTGGTCCAGTTCCTCTGAAAGTGCTGTCACCTGAGAAGGCAACTCGCCTTAAGGAAGAGAACACTCAAGCTGATTGCCTCGAGTTCTGAGAACGGCTCCCAAACGGAGCACGCATCCAGCCCACCCCTCATGCAGAGCACTCCGTGGGGCTCTCAGATGAAGAGCTGGTATTTTCCAAGCGAAAGCATTTTGTGCTGAAACTGTTTCGAAATTTGCTTCAGATCAGCCCGAGGTAAACGATCAGAAACGTTTTAAATTTGAAAGTGAAGCAAGATCCCAAACTCAGAGGAAGATCGGGCCGGCAGATGCCAATCCCCTCTCTTGCTTTGTTCCCCCCAAGGCTTTCCAACATCACATTTAGCTCAGCCTGAACAGACCCTCCTCACCAGCACGTGCCATTCAGCCAAGGAAAACCCGGCAGCCTTCAGGTGATCATAGTGAAGGCACAATTAAATACCTGCAGCCCACAACAACAGGCTGCCACGGCGCTCCTACAGAGGTCGTCAGCAGCCACAACCTGCGTGCTTTTATCAGTGGAGCAGATGAGGTCCCAGGATGATGAGGATAAGCTTTGGAGGGGCACCTGCGTGCGACGCCCTACCTCTGCCTCCCACCCCAAGCGTTCCTACACAGCTTACAGTGGGGTCTGTGGGAGCGAGTGCTGGCTCTGCCTCAGAGCTTCCACCCGGCTGTGAGCAGTGAGCTGCCAGCCTGTGCTGCCCCGTGCCCTGCTTGCTGTGTGCCCTACCTGGCAGCCTGGCCCGCCCCACTGACCTGCAGGGACGGCTTGCCAGCAGGAACACTCTGCGTGCCCCGCACCAAGGGCGGAGGGGTGGCCACAGCACTCCCAGAGGAACAGGCAGGCTGGAAGAGGAAAAACCAGAAAGAAAGCAGAGGAGTGTAAGGGTGTAGGCAGAATCACAGAGGCTAAGGGAACAAAAGCGTTTACCTCCTTCGCTTTAGTAAGGGAATCTTCAAAGACTGTGGGTTTCCCCTTCCCCCACCCTTTGCTTCCTCCGAGCACCTCACCAGGCGTATTTAAATGGAGAAGTGATTAGGCAAGTATAGATAAAGTTATGTCAGAAAAAGAACAGAGCCTATGCACCAAAAGCACAGCAATGCAGAACTCTGCTTTAGCAGCCTCGGCTCACAGCCTGTTTCAGCCTCATCCTCTGTTACTGCTGGTTCCAACTAATTGGGTTTGAACGTAACAAAGTGAAACAGAGTTAAAGGCTTCGGTGTGAAGGTGAGGATACACCAACTGACCCCGCCGAGTTCCAGCACCCCAAGTTCATCACTCAGCAGGGAACTGCGTGCTATTTCATCGGCTTCGTTTCCACCTCAAGAAGTCCAGGAGAGAGACACCGACAAGCAAACCCAACCAGAGAGGTGCAAACATCCAGCTGACACCTACACAGCTCCCCCTGCACAAAATCCATTGCGTCAGCACCGCATGCTGCAAAGTCAAAGAGGTGAGATGGCACTGGGACACAGCCTGAGCCTGACGGTGACACTGCAGCTCCTCGACACAAAGGGGGAATTTCTGCTGGGGTGGGAAGAGAGGAGGAGGAAAGGCAGGAATTGTGCAGAGCAGATCCTGGCGGTGGGGATGTGAGCACATCCATAACCACGCTGGCAGGGTTGTTACGCAGGAGATCCTCCTCCAAACGCGTGCCAGCTCTCTCTGTGCTGCTTTAAGGACTGTGTTTAGCAACCTGCAGTGCATTTCACTCATTAACACACCTGAGGTTACCAAAAAGCCGTTCTGCTTTTGGATAGAGCTGATGGGATAAGCTGCCTTGTCTTCTCATCTTGGCGAGACCAAAATGCCGCAGGAAGGAACGGTTAATGGGATACACTTCAATTCACAAAGGTTTGGCAAAAAGCAAAATGTGCTGCATTCAAAAGCTCTGCAAGTCACTGGAATTACCACAGTTTAATATATATGTATTTTTTTTTCCTTCTTTCCAAGGTAAGGACTAGCAGGAACAGACGTACCTTCTGAGTAGTGGTCTCCTTCTGGATTTGACTCTGCCGTAACTTTTTCAACAGGACAAGCTTTGCTTCCTCTAACCGTAGCTCTTCTTTCAGCTGCTTGATCATTCTCTCACGCTCCTCAGGACTGCTTTTCTGCAGGGCCGGGTAAGGCAGTTGAGGATGGGAAAATAGGGAGGGGGCAGAGGGAAAGACAGATACCATGCAAGTTACGACAAGAACTCGCTGCCTTGTAATTGTCACGTATGTCTTAATATCACTGACATGTCTGCAATGCAGGGACACAAACTGAGGGTGGAAAAAGAGCTCAAAGGCCAAGGGGGAAAAAAAAAAAAAGCTTTGGTAATTTCCATAAAGGAAATGAAAAAACAAAAGTCGAATGAAGAGCCAAGCGCTGAGTGCGGGATACCGCGGCCACCACCATAAACCCTGCTAAAAAGTCCATTCTGAAAGAGGTGCTCTTAAGAAGCACATGAAGGTTAAGGAGATGAGAGCCCAGAAAGTAATAATAAAGCACACATCAGGCTCTAACAGCTGCAGGACCCCCCCCAAACCAATCCTCGTGCAGTCAGGGATCCCCTGACCCCCAGCTCTGCAGGAACAGAGGACAGCAGGGCTGCAGTGCGTCAGGACAAGCGGACTCACCATGAGCGCCTCCGTGTTGGTCTCTTTTAATGCTATCTTTGTTAAACCATTCATTCTAGGGCTAGAAGGCTCGTTGTCTGACAGCACTATGACGTCCGGGGAGGGGACTCGCTTCTCTCTCTTTATTTCACTGCAAATCAGAAGGAAAACACAGAGAATGAGTTAACAAAAACAAGCCAACAAGTGCTGCACGGTGTGACTTACAGCCTCCTGATACATTATTCCCATATCTCTCAACTTACTGCCTCCTTAATGTGCTGCAAGGAAGAACCTGACTCCCCTTCTCTTTTTCCTCTCCTAATGTAAGGGATTTTGCATTCTGACCGCCCCCACCCAGGCTACCCTTAAGAGAACAACTGAAACAACTCACACACAGTCACTGACCTACGTTTGAGCACTTTCTCATGACATAACCTTCCTACACCTCTCACCCCTCAGCTCCATCAGAAGGAAACAGCAAACTGCATTAAAAAAGAAATAAAAGGGTCGGGGAGGACGTGATGTGCAGACGGCAGCGCTGCTCCTTTGCTGCACATCAGTTTCCTGAGCAGCTGGGAATGAACCCAGCCATGCACTGGGGTCACCATCCAGGGATGGAGGGAGCAGATCCTCTCCAGTGCCAGGATTTGGGATCTCAAAGCACACAGCACCGTTTGCGGGAGCAGGGAGGTTTGTCAGGAGCAGAGCACAGGGGACAGCAGAGCAGGGGGGGCAGCAGAGCAGGGGGGGCAGCAGAGCAGGCGGAGCGGCGACGGCGCTTTGGAAAGGGCTGACAGCAAGAAGAGCAGAACGCACACACGGCTGCGTGCTGTTTTCCTTGAAACCCAAAACCAGAAGTAGGAACAATGAAGTTTACACTGTGAGCCTTCTAAATTTGTGGTGAGTTATGCATTAGGAAAAATGCCTGGAGAGCTTGTACCAAGCAAGGCTAAGCAAATATTTAAGTGTGGCTTGTACTACTCACAGGTAAGAGATGTGGCACGGAAGCTTTCTGCCTCTTCATATCGGGTAATTACCCCTCAGGTTAAAGAACGATTTCCAGGCTTTACAGCTACTCCCCGTATATCAAGAACCCAATAATTAACCCTTATTATCTTATTTAGAGACGTGAAGGATATTCACACTGAGCAACATCACTGAAGAGCTGCGTGCCCCGCAGACCAGGAGACCCACAGCAGACAGAGCCACGTTTGGGATACAGCAAAGCCAGCCGAGAGCTGCATGGAAAGCTTTCAAAATGCAATTTCCACTTTGGTGAAAGGATTACAAAGGGAGAAATGTCCTCTAGAGGGCACAGCGAGCCAGTAAACCCGACCTAGTGAAACTGAGGGCTTCCAAAGCAGCAGAGGCACAGGTGGAAGGTTTCCAGTGTGTTTCTGTACCTGGTGGCATGGAACTGGCTGCTGGTGCCCTCGGATGGGCTGTAACAGAACAGGGCCTGGTGGTGGGTGGCAGTGGGCAGCGTGTGCCATGGAGCAGCACCATCCAGGTCCAGACAGGAGGTGGGGATGTGGTTGCAGCCTTCTGCCAGCCTGAGCTGCTCCAGGCAGGAATCCAGGCCCTCGTGGCACCCACAAACTGAGGTTGGTGTAACCATGGGGATCTGAGGCGCCCAGTTCTGGACCTCATGGGACCTTGCTGCCTGCTCCGGCCTTCAAGCTGACCCACGTGCACCACAGGGGCAGAGTGGCATCTTGGCCCCTCCCAAACCACAGCACTCCATGATTCCATGGCTCAGATCACAACCAGCCCGCAGGGAGGAGAGCAACACAGCGACAGCCGCAGCGACACAGCAGAGCAGTGCTGTCACCCACGGGCCCCATTTCCAGCAGCATGGCAGTACTCAGGGGTTGGGGTTCTGACACCGAGGGACAGTCCCTACAACAGCAGCCCTGCAAACCACAGATGGGCTGAACCCCACGGAACCCCATAGAGTCCCACAGAGCCCCATGGAATCCCACAGAGTCCCATGGAGCTCCACAAAGCCCTATAGAAGCCCCTAGAGTCCCATAGAGCCCTATGGAGCCCCATAGAGCACCACAAAGCCCTGTAGAGCCCCATGGAGTCCCACAGAGTCCCATGGAGTCCTATAGAGTCCCATAGAGCCCCACAAAGCCCTATAGAAGCCCCTAGAGTCCCATAGAGCCCTATGGAGCCCCATAGAGCACCACAAAGCCCTGTAGAGCCCCATGGAGTCCCACAGAGCCCCATGGAGTCCTATAGAGTCCCATAGAGTCCCATGGAGCCCCACAAAGCCCTATAGAGTCTCACAGAGCCCCACAAAGCCCTATAGAGTCTCACAGAGCCCTATGGATTCCCATAGAGTCCCAAGGAGCCCCACAAAACCCTATAGTGCCCCACAAAGCCCTATAGAGCCCCACAGAGTCCCCCAGAGCCCTATAGAGGCCCACAGAGGCCCATGGAGCCCTCCAGGCGCCGCCGTCCTGCACTGAGTGGGGCACCGCGGGGTCACGTGACGCAGCATCACGTGACCCGCACGGCGAAAGCCATGGCAACGGGCGGTCCCAGCCGGTGAGGCCCGGCCTTCATTTTGTGAGGTGAGGTCAGGACCAGGTGGTGGCACAGAAAATGGAGCGGGCCGGGCCGCGGGGCAGCAGCACGGGTCTGTGTGCAGAGGGACGGACGGCGCTTCTCGAGAAAAAGGAGCGAAACGGACAAAAACAAAAGGAAGTCCCCAAGAGAGCCGCCGTGCTGCTGGGATCCTCGGTCTGTTGGCTTCTGGGCACCTCAGGAAGGAAACGGCGCGGAGAGCTGCACGGCCAAGGCTGGGACTGCTGCACAGCAGCACCGGCCACTGAGATCTCCATCAGCAGCCATCTGCTCACTGCACCTTTGGGAAGATTAATGAGACGGAATGGGAGAAAAGAGGAAAAGCTCCAGCAGCAACGCAACGCCTGGCAGTGCGAAACCGGAGCAGAGCAGCCCTGTGAGCGCATCCCACCTGCAGCGAGGGGAACACGAAGCTCCGTCCCAAAGAGAGGGGATCCCAGAGCACAGCTCTGCAAAACAACCTTTCTTTAAAAAGAAAACCAAAACAACAAAATAAGGAAAGAGTTCGGCCCGCTCTTCTGTCAGCCTGCGTGTGTAAAGAGAGAAATTTAAAGCAGATGTTTCAAAATGGGAAAGACAATGGGAATATCACCACTTTCAGGACAAATGCTGCCACCAGCAGTTAATAACTTGGGATGGCTGCCCCGGCACCGTGACCTTTATCCTCCAAAGCCATCAGGCATGTCCTTCAGCTAAATAAAGACATAATTCTATTATTCCCCCCTTCAGCTTTCATAAACGTTGCTGTCTCAATCACCCGGGCTGTACGCAGGAAGATGAAAGCAGTGCTGCTGCCCCTATTTAAGCATCCTCGGCAATAAACCACGGCTGAACAGAGACCTTGCACAAAGTTTGTGGGAAGCAGTGAGCGCAGAGCCCCAGGTCACCAAACGCCCAAAGCAAAGGGCCCCGTTTCCTTCCATTCCCTCTTCCAGCCCCCCTGGCAGAAGGACGCCTGCTTCACGCTATTTGGAAGTTCTCCTCGGAGTCCTGGAGCATCCTGAGATATTCAGAGCACCACGACGACTCCGGAAGAAAATAACCAAGGGAACAAAGCAGAAAAGCCACATTGCTTTGGGGACATCGAGTTGGTGACGTGAAGGAACGAGGCCAGGAGGCTGAATGCAGCCTCACAGCTCTGAGCTGGGGCAGAAAATGACCAGTGAAGGTGCTGGAGACGACAGACCCGAGGCCGTGGAGATGGACTCAGCACCCATAACAGGATCACCATCCACAAGACTGAAGTCTCAATGATGCGTTACGGCAGAAAACAAAGCCGTGATGGTAACTCTTCACAGAGGCGCCCAGCGCCACGGGCTCTGCTGGGAAGGTTCATTTTGGGGGATGTCGGCCACAGAGCAGCTCACAGAGCTTCACTGCTTTCATGGCAGAGCTCCGGAACCACAGCGCCTTTACTTTGCTCCTGCCGATCCGGAGACACCGACGTGACACGAAACCCAAGCTGCCTTTTGCACACTGTATCTTCCCCGTGCTCCCAAACGCTCTTTCGATCCCTCCCCCCCAAAAATAAATAAAGCACAATCGATGATCAATCCACTGAGCGTGGCATTGAAGTTACAGAACTACTGACCCGGAAGGTGGAAAGCCCAGCTGCACAGCACAGCCCTGCAAAGCGCTCTCCCAGCACACTGTGCCCAGCAGCAGGTAACTGCAGGAGGCAGCGCAGCCATTGCTCAGCCGAAAGCTTCATCTACATGAGCAAATATGCAACAGTTTTGCCTCAGTCCATTCAGCAATCGCTTGTATGCTCCCATCCAAAAATATTTGGCAGGGAAGGAAGACAAACAAGGCAAGAACAAGCAATGCAGTGGGGAAAAGAGGACTCTTTTTTTTTTTTTTTTGGAGATGCATCCACATGAATCAAAGGGGTTGTGATGGATCTAGCAACCGCGGTGTGCAACCGAAGCAAAGCAAACTTCATTCCTTTCCTGCCCTTCCTCTGAACATAAATTAAACTTTAATCAAAGCATCTCTGCATTTAAAACACAGCATTAAAATCCCTCAAGAAACTTTTTTTTTTTTTTAAAGCCAGGCTGAAACCAAAAGGAACAAACGAAAAACCAAATCCAGAACTCAAAGTCCAACGCTCAGACTCCAAACCCCATCAGGAACACGCAGGCAGGGCACAGCAGCCACGCACACAGCTCCCAAATGCTTCCCACTAGATGTTATTTTTCATTGTACCACACAGCACACGGAGAAGACGGTCGTTCTGGGGTTCCAGAGCAAGGCAAAACCCTCCCCAAGCACACGTGTTATAACCAGCAAGACTGTAAAGTGAAGGGAATAAAGGACTGAGATGCTGCCTTCAATGCACCAACTGCAGGGATGCCACAGAGCCCCCATCCTTCTTTTTCACTCCTCATTGAGGCAGACAAGCCGTGGCTTAAGGCAACCCAGCTCGGGTGCCACTTGGAGAGGCCAGAGCTCAAGGCTGTACTTCGTACTTCTGTGGGCCATCAGGAAACAAAAGGGTGCAGGCAGCCGTGGTGGAATATAACCCCAAAGTGCCGAATGGGAATGGTTGGCTTAGCCAGACTTCAGTTTCAACTGGAAGGAAAACTAGGAGGCTGCAGAGGACAACACAAGGAACACAGCTGTCGGTGGAGGACAGCCTGAGCCCAGGAACGTCGCTCCTGGTGTCCAGCACAGCTTGCTGTGAGCTGCACCATCACTGCACGTGCCACTGGTTTGTGTCAGGAATGCCACCATCAGGTTACAAAGCCAGCAGTGCACAGAGCTGGGAGCTGAGTGCAGAGCACCGTAAGCACAACTGGCCCAGCACAGCACCAGGAAGGCGCCAGCCCCAGCGGGAGCAACTGATGCTCAGCACAGGGCAAACGTGGTGGGAAAGCGGTGAGCATGAAGGGAAGGGAGAAACAACAACAAAGGGAGGAAAGGGCCAGGAAAGAGGCAAGAGGGCAGAGCTCGGGCCGTCCCAGCGATGCTCTGCTCCTCGGCGCCGATGCGCAGCAGCTGATGACAGCAAAGCCCTGCACACAGCACACAGCTGAACCACCCCACTGCCAGCGCTCCCTGCCCTTAGGAAGGGGGCAGAGCTCCTTGCTCCCAGGCCAGCCCTGCAGCACAGCGATGCCACGCAGAGCAGCAGGCTTGGCTTTGGCCTGCCGTGACCTCCCAGAGCCTTCCACCACTACAGGCTTCCTTCTGTTTCTTCTGGCATCAGAACATGTGCTCCAACCAGATACTATTTTTATAAAGTTAACTTCAAGGTTCAGGGCAAAAGAAAAAAAAAATTAAAAAAAAATTAAGCAAAATCTATTTTTTTTTTTTTTTAAGTTTAGTGCCCAGGTGTTGCCAGGTCTGCATTTCAGACCTTGAAAAGAAAATCCAAATGATTTCAGAAGGATCATCCATTCAATGGGCTTGACGTCAGCTCCACCACGATTACTGCCGGGCCACCTTTTCCAAGGAAAATATTATGTTTTCAGTTCTAAAAGCATTAAAGGAAGTTTAAAAGCCAGAACCCCATACATCACTGCGCATGAATTTACCCAACCCAGGAGGCAGTAGTAGCTCAGTCACTTCCAGCACCAGCTTTTATTCATCTGCTCACAAAATCAGCTCAGCTACTTTGAAAACACAGCTCTTATGAAAGCTGAATTCCTCTGAAGATCAAAGGTGTTGGAGAGGTAAATCCCTCGCTTAAAAACATCCTTGTGAAATTAAGACCCACCTTCCCACAAACACTGATTGTGCTCCTGTATACGCGAGGATCCGATGCTGCTTCTCCTGTATCAAAGCATCTTCAGCCCTAGGAGGCATCTGCACCCTGTGCCACGGCTGTGCTCCTGTTAAGAACTTCATGCCAACGTCCCAACTTTCACAGAGCACCCAAAGAGCTCAGCCAGAGCATCGCAAAGTTCTTAATTACGTTATGATCATTAACTCTGAGGGCTTGCTTTCAGAGCGCCTCTTTACGCCGAGTGGTTTTTATCTGGGGAAACCTCGTCTCCCCCTGTGCACAGATGGGATCTCAGAATCGTAGGGGTTGGAAGGGACCTCAGAGCTCATGGAGTCCAACCCCCTGCCAAAGCAGCTCCCTACAGCAGGTCGGCATCCAGGCAGGTCTTGAACATCTCCAGAGCACGAGACTCCCCCACCTCCCTGGGATGCAGCAATAAAGGATGTCCCACCTCCACCTGAAGTGGCAGACGTTCCTCACCCCAATCACTGCTCCCTGGGCAGCTCAGCACGCAGCTCCTCGCTCCCAGCCCCCCGTGCAGCTCATACAGCACAAACACTGGCAGGCATTTACCAAACAGCTTCACAAAGAGCACGTGCGTGTGGGGGCAAGTACTGCAACCGGAGAGCGAGGGTGCCCGCCTCTGACTTGTTAGCTTTCAGCTATGAGTGATCTTCTCAGATATTCTTCAAAAAATAAAATCACAGTATGCATACTTGCGTTAATTAGCCAGCAATTATACGAAAAGATGCCTGAAGAGATTGGCTGCTATCAGCACAACACGCTGCCTGACATGGGAACCACCAGCTGCCCCAGTAACTCCTGAGCAGGGCAGGAGCACCTCGCAGGCATCAACTCCAGCAACCTGAGTTATGCACTGCCCTTTTTGCAGCAGGTTTGTGAAGAGCTGACAGCTCTCCCCTTTCCTCAAGCGAGCTGATGGAGGAGGTCTTACTTTACAAAAACAGAAGTGATTCCTGAATAGAGCTGCTGGGGTCTTTGTTGCTTCTCAAGCATTAAAAGTTGGGAAAAGTTTACGGGTGAGTTGCCATTACACATCAAAGACATTGGCCTTCCCAGCAGCACCCCTCCTCCCAGTAACTCCCTCGCAGTTGATAAGAATCTCGTGTTTTCAGTTTCACATCTCAAATCTGCACTGCTGTAACGCCTCACATCCAAGCAGATGCAGATTCACAGCCTGAGAACCGTTCAACATTTTGCAGGCAGGCCCCGCTCCTCACAGCGCTGCTCCAATGGGACTGGGAATAAACGAGGCTCCTGACTTCCTGCTCATCGCTTCACCTCACTGCAGCAAAAACCAAGCAAGGTCTTCGTGGTGACCAAGCTTTTATCCTGCTATGGACAGAAGCTGGGTTGGATACAGCAGAAGATTTGGAATCTGGCCGTAAGGTGATGCCCCTCCATCAGGAACACTTGATTCACCCGTGTAGCACAAGCACAGGTCAAAGGGAAAATCCTGTGCCAAAGCAATGAGCAACTTTGAGTTCATGCTCTGAGATGCCAGTGTTCAGGCACAGAAGGGATGCCGGCCTTTTGGGAAAGCACCAAGAACCCGTGCTTCACAGAGCTGCTGCAGAAGGGTGCCATCATTTCACAGCAACTCCAGTGGCAAAATCCACCCTTTGCTATAAGAAGAAACTCCCATCCACACACACTGCTCTGTCAGGAGGAATCAAGCCGCAATTCAAACCCCTCTGTTTGGGCAATCACCACCTATTATTTTTCCAATATCAGAGCTCAATTAATACGATCCTCTAAACCTCAATCAGTAGCTCAAAGCGCATCCTCCTTACAGCCTGTATGTTCTTCTATTCAGGACAAGGCTTCTTCACTCAGCTGCTCATCACAGCTGCCTGAGCTCACAGAAGACACAGCACCAGCGTTGCATAGGAGCGGCTGGATGCCACAGCAGGAGCCAGAGCTGCACTCTGCCCTTCAGATTCAGGCTCCTGCTGCCCTTAAGGCTGCTTCCCAGTGCCAGCCAAGCACGTCTCCCCATGCAGGGTCCCCTCCCCACTCACCTTTTGGAAGTACTCATGTCCACGGGCTCGTCTCCCGTCTGAACCTCCACTTTGATGGTTGCTTTCACCTCTCCGCTTTTTAACAGTCCTTGCACTTTTCCAGCTCCGGGATCCGTTTTTATTTTCATGTCTCCTTCAGCACTTATTTCAGTTCCTAACAGTCCTTTCTCCATTTTTAGTTTCTTGCTGTCCACATCGTTATGCGGTACCTCACGTTCTAAGGCTCGTTTCTGACTTCGTGTCCTGCATGCTTCCTCTGTCATTGTGAGGCTCTGGGGAGAGAGGAGACACAAACGAGTTAAACGCCTGGCAAAAAGTAAGTTGGACCAAACACCTTCATTTCAAAACAGGGCAAAGTACGGCGCTCGCTGCGAAAGAAGAAGTTCTGAAAGAGCAATAAAAGTTTTGCTGGTACGCTCGCCTGCCCTGTCTGCAGCACACATCTCAGAGCGAAGCACCCAGCATCACCCTGCCTGCGATTCTGATGTGAGGCGAAAACAAACAGAAAAGGCAAAAGGAGAAAACGGCCTCAAACCCCTCCGAATATCAACCAGAAGCAGGAACTGCAGTAACAGCAGCAGGAGGCTGCAGCGGGGAACGCGCAAACCCCCACCGTCGAGAAAGTTTGGAGCTCTCCCAAGAAGCAGGAAGAAGAACGCATGGATTTGCCTGACATGCAAATAAGCGTAATTACAAAATCGGAGATTAGGATCGGGCTGGGAGAGCCGCCACGTCTGTGCCAGGACCCAAACCCAGCCGCGGGCTTCGGGACCACGGCGCTGCGCACGGGGAGCCCTGCATGGCGCCGCGCAGCCACGGCCCCTCCTGGGAGCAGGGCAGGCCGGGGGGCAGAGCGCAGGGCCGCGGGGTGGCAGCGGGTACCTGCGGACACCCCTCGGACGCGGAGCTGAGTCAGGCTTTGATCCCATGACATCACTGGGCTCCACATGACCCTTCCCAGGATGCAGCCTGCGAGACAAAGCACTTTCCAGAAACCAGTCTGAGCCGGCAGCGGGCGACCCGCAGCAGGGCTAACCCCAGCGCCCGCAGCATCCCTGCCGCTCCTCCTCCTCCTCCTCTTCCTCCGCCCGCACCGCCGGCCGCCCGGGGCTGGCACAGGGCGGGGGGAGCCCTCCCTTCCCTTTCTAATTAATTAATTAAGAGTCCCTCCCATCGCAGTGCCTCCCCCCCTCCCCCCCTTTTAAACTGGATTTCAAGAGCCAGGCCGACGCACAATAGTTGGACCAAGTCTTTCCAATGTTTTTAGCGGCGAGGTTAACATAATTACGCAACGTAATTAACCTCTGCTCGCTCCCCCCCGCCCCCCATTATCCACCAATGTCACCCGAGAGCTCCGTGAAACCGCAGTTTGGAGGCTCTGAGCCCCGCACGGTGACCGCAGGTTTCTCTGCCCGCTGTTGTACAAAGAACTCGGTTTTGTTTTAAGGGACAGCTGCAGTCACACACGGCTCTGCTCAGCCCATTGCTGCTGGACTCAGAGCCGGGCAGGAGGGTGTCCGTGTGTCCGTGTGTCCGTGTGTGTGCTGGGCTGAGCTCAGGGCCCGGCAGCAGCACAGCAGCTCGCATCCAGCTCCAGCCATGGGCAGCCCTGCAGACAGCAAAGCTGCCCCTCACCCCAACAACCCGGGCAGGAATGGCAGATCTCACTGCCGTTCACTGCGTGCAGATGTACCTGAAGCCAGAGCTGCATCCAAAGGCCACCGGGCAGCTCATGGACACGGGGGTTTGCCGTTGTCACAGAGGTGCTCCTGCAGCAGGGCTGCTCAGCTGGTGCAAAACCTCCTCGAGAAGACAAGAAGCAAAACCAAGCAGGTCTGGGTTCACTTCCAGCACCTGCACATCCCCCAGTCCTGGAGGAGAAGCACAGCTCCAGCAGTCGGTGCTGATCTGGCACTGCTCAGTGCCTCCATGTAGGCTCTACATTTTAGGAGCGTTCATAAGATGCTGTAATTTCTCTTCATTACTCCTATCTTTGACTGAGATGAATTTCAAGCTATACTGAAGGACTCCACCTCTACCGCACGCCACAGGTCTAAATCCCGCACGCACAGTGATATTTAACAATAACACACCATCAAAGCTCTACAGGGGATGGAAAAACAGGCAATGAACCACAACCCCACATTACACACCCATGTTCACAGCAGCTCAGCTGTGCACAGCGGGGCAGAGCCCCAGAGCCCCCTCAGCACCCCTGGGCTGAGCCCAGCCAACAGCACAGCCTGCGTGCACACACGCACCTTCCCAGCACGCCCATCCTGCTGTAGGCTCCCCAAGACGGCACACAGCAGCAAGGAGCCTTTTCTTTTTGCAATGGCAATGAGAAGGCAGCAAGATGGGACAGCAATTGTTAGGGAGAAGCTTGCTGGATACACTGGGATTGCATCTCCACCAGCTGATTCTGCTGGGTGGGCTCAGATCAGCAGCTCAGAACAGCCAGGCTCTGCGAAAGGACAACGCATCGCTTTGGAAGCCGACCCCAAAACCCCACTCTGCTTCCCCCAGCTTTCACAGGCACAAACACACGAGGGGCAGACAGCGTTGACTCCACCTTCCATTCTCCAGGAGGAAGGGTAAGAAAGAATTACGCAGTAAATTTCAAGTTTCTATGGGAGGTTCCGCTCTTTATTACAGCAAATAGCGCGGCTCCGAGCAGAGCGCTCAGGACTTCAGCAGCCAATTCTCAGCTTTAAGTGCTATTGCTGTAACAGATTAACTCCTACCAACAATTCAAAGGCAGTTTAGCATACAATGCTTTGCCCCAGAGCCCTCCACGCCGCTCCACTGCCCTCTGAGCACACTGCCAGCAGCCAAAGCCCAAACCTGTGCTGAGCCTCATGGCCGGGGAGGCACCACGCATGGCAGCTCCCATGGCTGCCACCTGCACAACTGCTGGAGAAGCTACAGAACAGGAAAAAGTTTGAGATGTGGGGAATTAATTGCTTTGTGCCAGGGATGCTCAGTATGGCCCAAACCAAGGCGGGCAGCCCCAGCATGGCACCAGTGGCATCGGTTCTTACAACACAGCGATGGGAAACAGACAGCCGAAGTGAGGACACCTGAGGCTTTGCTGGAGCCCCAGCAGCAGCAAAAGGAGCAGCACTGAGCAACCCTGCTCTGCAGCACTATTTCAGCAGCCAAAACCAAAGAGCAGCAGCCCTCCTGCCCAGCACCAAAAGTGAAAGGGAAAACAGCAACAAGAAAAGAGGCAAGGTTACAGAAGAGGAAAGGGAAGGTGAAGGCACGTGCAAGCCAATACCCCGGGGTGAGCAGCAGCCAGAGGTGGCTCCAGCTATTTTCTAAGTGCAGCTGATCAGAGCCCAGGGATGCTTCAGCACGTGCTCTGTGCTGCAGCTGAGCTCTGATCCTTGGTGTGCCATAGGTGTTGCGTGGCTTTTCTGTTTGCCTTTTTCCTGTACACTCACTGAGAAAGAAGGCAGAAGTGAGAGCTCCTCGGAAAAGTTACGATCCCTGCGTGCAGCACTGTGTGAAGGTGCACTTGGGTCTGCATGCCCACACGTGCACACGCAGGAGTTCAGGACCTGGCCTTACACATCTCAAAAAAAAAAAAGCAGATTTCAAGAATCCCAAATTAAATCCGGATGATCATTCGGATTATTATTATTTTTGTAAAGAACGAATGAAGGCAGGACAAAAACCCAGCAGCCTGATAGAAATGAGAGTCCCAACACCTGCCCTCACCTGGGCTCCCGTGCCGCCCCGGGGCTGCGCTCCCCACGGCAGCACCCCGAAGCAGCGGGGCAGGGGGGGCAGCGGGCGCCCTGCTGCCAGCCCACCAAGGGTTAAGCCCTGCCATTTTGGTGCCATTCACCGATATGTCCATTAAGGGTGTTACATAACAAAATGGCAGCCCTTAACCCTTTCCTCGCCGGCTGCCACGCTGCCGAGCTGCACGCCGACGCCGGCCGGCGGCACTCCCAGGCGTGGCGACCCCGACCCCGCCGTGCATCAATGGGATCGTTTGGGATCGTTTCCCCTCGCCGGGAGCGTGCAGGGGAAGATAAGCAGCCTCGCTCAGCACCGCTGGTAGAAGCTGCAAGCTGACAGAAGTTTCCTCTGTGCCAAGGCACGAGGCTCACGGTGAAAGGAGCAGCGGTGGGCGCGGGGACGGCGGCGCAGCAGCGGGCCCAGGGTGGAAAGCAACCCAGAGCTGCAGCCCGGTGCTGCAGGGCAGCCCAGCACCGTGCAGCGCTGTGACAGCAGCAGCAGCCACGTGGCAGCGCCCGCAGGTCCCCCTGGCAGCCCACCAGCACCACGCTGCGCCCACAGCACTACGGGAGCGGGGCAGCAGTGTGCGTGCCATCAGCAGACAGCTGCTGAGGCTCCGAGCACCACGAGCACAAAGCTCTGCTCTTGGCCAGGTAGCAGAGCAGAGGTCCCACAGCATCAGAAGGCACTGCTCTGCTTTGCTCTGCTTTTGTGTCAATGCACCTTAAATCTCTGCTTATGGCACAGCTCGGCTCCGTTCGCTCACAATAACGATGAGAGCTCGGGATTCTGAGCACTCCGTGCAGCACAGCAGTCACAATTCCTGACAAAGCTCTGTGTGCCACAGATGACAGCAAACAGAGCTGCACGGATGTGGAACGGCCACGGCCTGGGAGGTCAAACTGATCTGCTGGCATTGGGTGAGGACCTCCAAGAAGCTCTCGCTGCCAAAGTGATCTTAGAAAGTATGTGCTGCTTTGTTTTAAAGGCACGGCCACATCTGTGCAGCTCTTCCTCATGCTGCTGCTCTTCCCCCAGAGCAGGGACTCACATCACCGCGTCCAATGGCAGCAGCACGCAGCCCGACCTCACCTCCCCAGCCCCATCAGCCCTCTCAGATAAAAGCTGATGGTTAAAAACCGTTCGTCAAGCATTTATTTTCACTCAAAAGTAAGACCTGCCACCCATCCACCCCACGTTCACCCAGCATTAGCTACCAATACAGCCTCAGTACACCCACAGAGGGGACAGGCAGAGCAGGACGCAAAGGACAGCACCAAAAGGAAGACCTGGGCAACGCTGGGAGTTCTCTTCTTCTCCACTTGCTCACCCCGTTCTTCACTAAATAGCTTTAGAGTTACACCAGTGTTAAGGCCGCAGCTGGGGTTCACAGCGTGCGCTCAGAGGGTGCTGCCCACAGCCACTGCATGAGGGATTTGCTTGACCTGAATTCTCCCCCAAGTTTTATGGATCTATTTTTGTCTAGAAACCACTGGGCAGGAAGTCTGCTAATGACTGCGTCTGGGCTTTGTATTACCAAGAAAACAAAAAGTTACCAAGATTCCTCAGAGCAGAACAGCAGCTGAGCACAAGTCCTGACTGGGGCTCAGAAGGGCAGCGTTCAGGCAGCGAGCTGAACCAGGAGACAGCACTCGTGTGCACATCTCTGCAGCTTCAGAGCTGCACGGCGGGCGCCCGGAGGTTGATTACTCACTGATCAAGAGAGCAGATTAAGAAGTTTCCACAACTGTGGTCAACAGGTCGAAGCGTGGCAGCGATGCAGCGACTCTCACTGCTGCTCCCACTCCTCCGCCGCCAGCTGATGTCACACTGAGGGCGCTGGTGTGACATCACTCGACCCTTCCCTCCCCATGAAGGTGGTTCTGTTCTGCACAAACCCGGGCTCAGCTCTGAAGTCGACTATGGCACAAAGCGCAGTGCAACAAGTCAGTAAGTCTATGAGCAGTGACACCAAGCCCTCCTCTAGAGCAAAAGCATCAGAAGGGAAGAGCAGGAAGGCCTCACACAGATCACCAGAGGGGAAAGAAACACCACAAAACAGCCACCGGACAAATCCTGAGATTACTGATTAAATCATCCATTGAGAGGTGAGCTCCACCAGCACAGGACAGCCATTCCTAAGGGCTTTCCAACGCACAGCTTCACATAACACCACTGCAGAGCCATAGGGCAGCCGCAGAAATCTCATTTCCATTCACCACTTCACTTCTGGGGGTTGCACAAACGATCGAGATCTACACGGGTCTCAAGGGAGGAATTGCTGTGTGCTTGCTATTGCCTCTCCTCTTGTTCAAGACCGAAAATACTCTGCAGCTGTTGTGAATGCCCAGCTAGAAGGAAGCGAAACTCCTCTGTCTGCCCATCAGTAAACTACGGAGACGCACCAATTTTGGAGTGCTGGCTAAATGTTAAGTGAGAGGCGACTTCTGCTGAAGGCAGAACCTGAGTTCAACACCCGAGCTCTGCTACTGCCAGCTGAGGCAGCAGAACCACCCGATGCCAATGGCAGCCCCATCCCCAGTGCCATCCCCTCCCCTGTCCTACCTGTCAGTGAGGTTCATGGGTCCCACGGGGGGGTCCTGTCTGCACCAAGTGGCTGAAAGGGACCGCAGTGCAGGTCCTGCAGGAAAAGACAAGGAGGTGAGCACAGCTTTGGTCCAGGTAGTGATGAGCCCATTGCCTTCAGCTGGCATGCATGCGCTGAGACAGCGACCCTAAAACCCCGCGAAGGGCAGAGACTGCATCCTCTGGTTTGAGCTGGGAAGGAATTGAAGTCGGGGCTCGAATGCTTTCGGATCAACACACAAACTCACACAGCAGCCCTGCTGAGCAATCAGTGATTTGGCATTTGCATGGGAAGGACACCCAAGTGTGTCCTCGTGCCCAGATGGATGCTGGCTAAATCCCTGATGGGAGCCCAGCACCGTGGCAGCCCCACACTGCCCCTGGGGACACCTGAGAACAAGCCCACGGCCCTGCAGGAGCATCCATGAAGCCCCCACATCATACAGAGAAAGCAGGGGGAAATCGCTTTGAGTGAGTGTGTAACATCCATTCTGATGAACAAAGCTCATGTGTTCACCTGCTTTTTGCTCCACAGCAGCTTCTGCTGACCCACACTTGCTCACGCTCCACAAAAACCCTTTCACAACCCAGCACAACGTCCCCACCTTCCTCTTCCCACTCTATGAAAACACCGAGGGAAGAAAGACGGAGCCTGGGCACACCAGCCAGTGAGAAACCCCCACTAAACCAACCCACGTGGCCACACACCTGATGGCAATGAGCTGCATGGCACTGCTGCTGGTCCAGAGCGACCACCAGGACCACAGCACCGACCCGGCAGTGAGCCCTGTGCTGGGGCACAGCAATGGATGCTCAGCAGCTGCCAAGCACCTTTTTGGAAGCTCAGCCTCTCCTTTCTGCTAAGCCATTGAGAGCTCTGAGTCATTCCCCTCCTCCAAAAGGTTTTTTGGAGCGGGTTTCTGTTGTTTGCAGGCAGGACAGCAGCTCATCACCTCCTGTCCTCCAGACTGGGGGTGCTGGGGGATGCTGCTCCGTGCCACTGCCTGCTGTGCAGCTCAGAGCATCCAAAGAGGTTCCAATGGATTAAACAAATTGCTCCAAAACTGCAGACAGAGGAACTTAATGAATGGATATGCAACTGTGTTCTGGGTCTTGATTAGCTATCTAGAGGGCAGGTCTTGCTAATTATAGCTCATCCTATTAGTCCAATGCTTTTCTAATTAGTAGCCCATTGAAAACCACCACTACAGCTACTTTGGGGCCTTTGTGAGGATCCAGCGGTGCTGTGAGCAGCAGCCACGCCGTGGTGCATCCACACCTGGTTGGGATGCACCAGAGCCTCCAAAAAGCCGTTACAAGTGATGAGCTCCTGCGTTAATTAGTAGCTGCGGCACCGCTGCAAGTTGGGACACTGCTGGGAAAAAGGAGGGGGCAGAAAAAAGAAAAGATTTTGGAGGAGCAAGGAGGAACGGCTCCTTCCATCGTGCTCTGGACACGGGGAGTCTGAGCTGGGCTGCTGGGGCTCCTGCCTGCCTCCATTTTTAACAAACCGTAGCATTAAACTCCCGTCGTGCTCCTGTCATGGGACTAAAATAGTTTTCATCTTACGAGGACACGAGGAGCTGTTTAACTGCTTCCCTGCCAGGGGACGCCGCTGCTCTGCCCTGCAGCGCCGGAGCTCTGAGCCCTCGGCTCCAGCCCAGCATCCCCACAGCACTCAGGGAAAAGGGTTGAGATGGTTTGGAGCTGTTGGTAAAGCACCATGACGGGGATTCTCGTGGGAAACGGGCACTTAAGCAGTTAACACTGGGAAGTGAAACTCGGCCGGAGCAGCTCTGGCTTTGACAAGTCCCAGCAGAAGGCAGCGGCCGGAGCCGTGCAGCCACGTGTCCCAGTGCCACCAGCACCAACCTGCTGGGAAACCCAGCCTGTGGTCCCCAGGCTGTGGGACAGCATCCTTCCCCTGACAGAGCTCAGGTTGCTGGGAGCCACCACAGGCACCTGGCGAAGGGTTTTCCTCTAAAATCAATGAGGAAAGTTGTAGATCAGAACAAGGGCGCTGCGATTTCAGCGACATCGCTGAATCCCACCAACAGTGCCTGGAAAAGCAACAGGTTGGTAAAATTAAAGAGAATCACAGCATGGTCTGGGTCGCAAAGGAGCACGATGCTCATCCAGCTCCAACCCCTGCTGCGTGCAGGTCACCAACCAGCAGCCCAGGCTGCACAGAGCCACATCCAGCCTGGCCTTGAATGCCTGCAGGGATGGGGATCCACAGCCTCCTTGGGCACGAATCCCCACGCCGAGCAAGGTTTTAAGATACGATGTTTTGAGAACAGGCTCCAGATTCTTTCAGATGAAGGCATGGAAGCTGTGACACGGGGACGCAGAGCGCTCTGCTCCGTGCGTGGCTCCTCAAACAAGTGATAAGAAAACCCTGTGCTTTTTGGAAGGCTGAGCGAAGCTGTCAGCACCAAAAGGAGTCACATTGCAATCTAAATATTGACACACCAGGGGTTGGCTTCTGCCTCGTGCCCAGGTGTGCTTCCACCAGTGCTTCTGAATACAAGAGTGAAGTCTTCAGTCGTTGCTCCAGGAAGAGAACTCAAAGCCGTACAAAAGCAGCGAGCAAGTTTCTTTAGCACCAGAACTTCAGCTTGCATAAGAATTGTCTCTGCCTTGCAGTGGAGCTGCCAACCCTCCCGCCCCCAGCCCATGTTGGTACCCCACCAAATAGCTGGGAATTGCTGCCTGATTCCTGCGTGCCCACGGATCAGGAAGGTGCAGCTCAGCCCCTCCACTCAGTGCCGCCCCACAGGAAGGTGAAGAGCCTTTCAGGTGCTCATTAACACCAGTGCCACCTATTAATTGTGTACCAGGCTCACTGCCGATCAAATCTGTTACAAACTGAGAGCCTCTCTCACTCATTTCCAAGTTCCTGAGCAGAGATGAAGACGCAGCCATCAACAGTGCTCCTAATTACCCCTCTGGATCAACGCCTGTGCTGGGCAGGAACGTGGAGCTGGGAGCAGAGGGAACGTTACCCATGGGCAGCATCCATCCCCCAGAGGACACTCATTTTCCAGCATTCTCTTACAGATGCCAAAAGCCACCGAGTCCCACAGCAGCGCAGGCAGGGATCCACAAGCAGTGCGTCCTTCCTCCAGGGCACGCAGCCTTCTGATATCAAGGTACCAAGCTTGCCAAGCTGAGCCTTTTGATATCACTGCTATCATCCGATTCTTGCAACCCAAAGTTGGTGTTTTCAGACGTGTTTTGACTTCTCTTTGCCAGGCTGCTGCACCTCAGTGGTCGTCACCGTGCCACGCTCTGCCCTCCCTCCCCAACCAGCCCTGTCTGATCCGAGCCCCCTCTGCCTTCCAGTCGTGACGTGTGCCATGCTGCTGGCAGAGGAGGGGGCATCTCTTCCTTATGCACTGCGTGGAATGGTTTGGCAGAATATCAAAGAGGGGAAAGGGGCTGTGAAGGCATCACCTCGCTCACTCCGTGCCCGACAGCTCCGAGGATGGAGGAGGCAGCACCGCGCCGGGCATCGGCCAAAGCACAGCCACCATCCTCTGCTTCACAGCCTTCCAGCATTCCCCTTCTCTGAGATAATTCCATTTGTGCCCACCTGGCTCCATTCAGCATCACTCCTGGAGGTGTTGCAGCAGGATTCTTTTAGGTTTTTTTTTTCCCCTGTTGGAGCTCAAGGTTTCGCCCCCCGCTAACGACGCGCTCTTCATCTCAGCGGCAGGAATGCATTAATAACCCATAAGCTAATAATTTTGTCGCAGCAATCTTCGCTTCCCTGCCTGTATTATTTAAAAGCCAAGTCGAGGGTGTGCGTGGAGCACGACACCGCTCAGCAATCCAAATAAGGGAACGAAATGGCAGCTTGGCAGGAGCCCAGCAGCCACACCTATTGACAGGGGAAGCAGCACAGCCACCCCGGTCATTACAGCAGGAGCTCCGTGCACAGCAGCACCCACCTGCGGGCCGACATCCCACCACGGGGCTGCGGGGGTCACGCTCACACCCCGAGCCCAGGAAGCTGCTCTGTCACTGCACCCATGGGACCCAGGGGCTGCGCTGAGCAGCAAAGCATCTGGGTGCTGCGAAGCAACAGGCGCACAAAGCAAACGGGAGATGCGGGAGATCAGAGTGAGATGCTGCGATTCCAGCCCCCAATGCGACTTGCACAAAAACAGGAGGGTAGAGAGCAACCAGAGGTTTGCAAAGGGAATGCTCCTGTGTGTGTCAGCCTCCTAAGGGATAAACAGCGTGCAGTATTAAAAAGGAGCCATCTTCAGCTACTTCTATAACCTCCACCATCATCACGGTTCTCAGGCACCAGTGACCAAGCAGCCCTCCAGCTGCCTTTGTTCCATAAACCACTTCTACCACTTAAGTTCTGGCCATTATTAAGCCATTGTCTCTGCGTTTAAACCGGTTTTGGTCCGACAAACTGAAATGAATCCATCCCTCTCTGCACAGCCTCGCTGAAGGAAGCAGCAGCAGAATCATTTCAAATACACTGAACACAAATGGATGCAGCTGTAACCCAGAACGGCGCTCCCTGAGCTGTCACTGAGCTCAGGATGTCAGCCTAAAGATACAAGTTTACCTGCTGCAGGATTCAGGAGAATTTCAGAGCCACCAAACACTTCATGCATCCATCGAGGAGATGCGTGCTCCTCCCCAGCACACACACGGCCCAGAGATGACAGCTGCTGCCCTCAGAACTGCTGGGCACAACCCAGCACCTCCCACAGACATCAATGAAAGCAACAAGTTCTGCTCTCAAGCACTCAAAACACAGAAGTTCTCCACTGCTTATGACGGGCTGCCAACCCAAAGCATTCAGGCTTTCTGGGCTGCATCTGGTCGGCCTTGAATATAAAACCTAGCAGCAAACAGAGCTAGGAGCGCACACGCAGCAGCGTGCAGCAGGGGCTGAAGTAGTTTAGTGCTGTACAACAAACCAGAGAACAGCAGATCTGCGCTGTGAATGGACCTGAACTGTGGCTCAGCACAGTGGCACAGGGACAGCAGAACCACGGGATGTTCTGAGATCCCATTAAACATGAATGCCTTCGGTTTACTTCCTCTAATTCTTGTGAGCGTTTCAAAGCTCACAACCACGTGGCCGCGTCAGCAAATGAATGGCCGGGCAGGGCTGATGGGCTGCAGCAAGGAAATCCTCCTGCAGCAATAGGTAAATACCACTATGAAACATAAAGATCTCATTTACTGCCCAATTACAACATCTGCAAATTCTTCCAGGTTTGTAGCATAAACCAAACTGAGCAAGAAATCACTGCTGATGATCTTGGGATGCGTGCAACAGCACCGGCTGTGGCTCTGCTGCTCTCCCCATTTAGGGGACCCACCTGGGGCTCCATTCCAGCCGTGTGCTGGGCAGCTCAGAGCTGCTCCAAGGAGCTGCAGCCAGCAGTGGAGCGTGCTGACTTCACTTCGCCCCAGTCCCCGTGAGCCCAGGCGCTGTGCAGGACGCCAGAACCAGAGGGTGACCTCCATGCACACCAATCCCCTTCATTTCACAGCAGTTGGGCGCTGCAAACAGGCAGGGAAACTGGATTCGAGTCATTAGTCACCCAGTGAATGCCAAGAGGCAGGAGATGACTCCTCTTCCAAACGCAGCACAGCTCCACGCAGCACGCTGAGCCAGCAGACATCCCCAGCAGGGTGGGATGGAGCACCAGTAGCAGGAAGGCAAACGGAGCAGCCCAGTGTGAGCTGCGATCACCTCTGCCCTTCAGGGCTGTGCCAGAACCACACAACGCCTTCTGCCCCCACATCCCCAGAGCAGAGCCATCCGAAAAGATGATGCTTGGTCACAACGATGTGCTCGACGAGGCACCTGCAGGCCTCCCAGCCCAGCCCAGCCCTCACAGGGGATGCACAGAAAGCCTGGGGAGCTCCGAAATACACCTGGCTTCAGCACATCACCTGCAAAGGCACAGAGCCGGCTGGGAAGGAAGATGGCAGATGGCTGAGCGCAGCGCTGCCCACGGCCAAGGGAACCCTGAGCTCCACGTCAGACCCTATCTAACGGCCTTCAGCACGTGTCACACACTGTTAAGTCTTATTCTCCTACACCACACAAATGTTTGCACTTGCCAAGCCAACAAACTGCCCCGTGCAGAACACACAGCGCACCCACAGGCTCTTCGTTCTGCCCTAACCTTAACCTTAACCCTAGCAGCAATTCTCACTTCACACTACAATGAGATGGAGCTGCGTTGCTTGAGAGGTAAAAGCTAAAGGTGAAGATTAAAATAAGACTGAAGGAAACGGTTGTTACATTTGGCAGATCTTCCTCGCAGCCCATGCTGTACCCATTCGGATGGGACAGCCAGAGCACAGAGATGCTGAACACCCCAACCCAAAGCATTGATCTCCCTCTCCTCCAGAGAAGCACAGGTGAGGAGGAGAGCATCACCCACAGCCGTGCCCGTCTCAAGATGAAACCCCAGGGAGGCTGCTGAGTTCAGAAGGAACAGAACTGCTACAGCTGCACCTGGCTGAAGCTGTTTCCTAGCTTATTTCAGCACGACAAAACAGCAGCATGTGCCAACATCTTTGCTTAAGAATCAACACAAGGAACCTAAGGATGCACGAAACTTGCTAAGCCTTGTTTTCACCCCATCCATTTTGTCCCAGGTGGCCAAACTACACATATTTTCTCCCTCAAAATCCTCTTAATCATTTAAAGACTGCGTCCATCAAGTGAGAGCCACAATTCTGCTCTCCAGCCCTGCCTGCTCTGGAGGAGGAACCACGAGCAGCGCAGCAGGTTGTGGGCTCAGAAGCCCCAGCAGAACGAAAACACAGCCTGTAATTAAGGCATAGGAAAGCTGTCTGGGAGGATTCCTTCCTGCCCCATCCCAGCCACAGCCCCCAGGTGATGCTGAACGGGGCACACAGACACGTGCCAGCATCGGGAGGCCGATGCCAGGAGCCGACAGCGCAGCACCGCCAGCAACCCCATGGTCTGGAGAGGGGGAAAGAAAAGTGCTGAACAACAGAAAGCCAGCATAGCAAACTGTGCATTAGTGAGCCTTAACCTTTGCTTGGGTGCTACCCCACGGCGCCGGCTTCGGGCAGCTCGCTGGTGGTTTCCCCACCTGAACACAGGCAGAGGCACCGATGCACATGGGGCATCCTGGTTGAGTGGGGAGAAAATATCACAAGAATTAACGACCTCTTGTAAGAAGAAGATGCTTCTCCTGAGCCTCCTGGCATTGTCCAGCTCCTGAATCCCGCATTGCTTCCCACTCCCATCCCCAGTCCAACACAATTCCACAGCACTGGAAGTCGAGCGCCCACTGCGGAGCTCTGTGTGGCACTGGCTGTTCTGAGAAGCAAAAACCTCTGCAGCACCGTTTTGTCTTTGCTGTCGTAAGGGAGCTCTGCACACGTGTGTCAGTCCAACAGGGGAACGCACACACTGCATGCTTTCTGTCCAACCCTCCTCTGCTGAGCACAGCTCGGGCAGCACCTCCCACCAGCAGGGAAACGTCCATGGCCACATGTGAGCACGGGTCCAATCCCTCCCCTCACGCAGGGCTGAGCCACGGGAAGCACAGCCAACAGAAGCAGCCGTTAAAGGCACCTTCAGCCTGGGGGAAGAGAGCACAGCTCCCGTGTGCGCAACAGGCACCAAAAGGAGGCTCTGATGCCCCAAGATCGGGATCTGGACACACACAGCAGCACTCCGCTCCTGGCACCGCGGCCGCAGCTCAGCAGGTCCGGCTGGGGCAGCCCTGCATCACCTGAAGGACTTTTAGGCTTCATTTTCTACGTGCTCCCAGCCAGCTGAGGGACGCCAGAGGTTGGCTGCGTTTGGTTTTACCAAGCACTCTCCTCCATCCTCCCCTCAAGCAATGCAGATGGAGCCGCGGCCCCAACCGAGCCTCGTAACCATCGCACAGCACATGAGCACCACCTGAGTTTACACCAACAATTCTGAACAGCTCCCTGTATGCCTACCAGCCTGTAATTACTACAAAAAGTCACAGCGCAGCTATATTAAGTTCCTGTATTAGCATACTGACACTGCAGCATTGCCAGCTCCATTGCATCACCGCCCGTCGGTGTAACCCCACGTAGCACAGCTCCACACCCCCACCTCCGAGCAGAGGGAACAGCTGTGGCTGCCTCCATCCTGCAGCGTGGACACACAGTGCTTCTTCCCAGCAGGATCCAGCCTGTTGTCCCTCCTTCAGGCACGGGATCCAGCCCTTCTCACACCGACACAAACTCGATCAGAGCTAACCGGCGATAGATTTGGGCTTCTTCCAAACAGAAGTTAGAAGAGCATCACCTGCAGCAGGGCAAAGCGCTGCAACCCGACTGCTGCACGCACAGCACACATCAGTCACATCAGTGCAGGGGGAGAAAGAAGCAGAGCAGTTCCCAACGAGCAGCGCTCTGTGGGGTCACAGCCCTTCAGCACGGGGCTCTGTGTCACCACTGGGGGCTCACGAGGTGCCGCTGCCATGTCACCCTCAGGTCCCTGCCCGGGTTCTGCGGCTCCTTCCCAAGGGCCAGACCCCACACAGCACACCATGCACCCCCCTTATTCCTTACTTTCACCATCTCTGCCCCCTGCTCCTCTCCCACCTCACGGTCTCTGCTAACCACGCACCCGCCCTGCTCCCATTTCCCTCCGCTGCTCTCCTGGGGCTTGAGAGCTGCTCAGCAGTTTGGGAAGCGCTCCCAGCTCCTGCCTGCTCCAGGTCTGCCAGCAGTCGCCGATTCCCGAAGGGCCCTCTCCAGTTTTCACTTCCTGTGTAACACTCCCTGCGAGCAGCTCTGCTGTCGCTGCAGCCGGAGGAGGGAGCGAGGAAGTCGGGCACCCACGGGAGGAGCCGGGGCTGAGGCCGTGCCCGCGGGTCGTTCCTTGGGGACCCACCCAGCGAGCACCGCGGGGGAACGGAGCGCTGCAGCCCGGCCAGCCTTCGGCAACGCGGGGCGGGCAGAAAAGGGACAAGCGAAAGCAAAACCCAACGCTCACACATCCGAAATAAAGCCGCAAGCAGATGCCGCGGGGCAGCAGGAGCGCGCATCCCAACTTCGGGGCCGTGAGACCGGGAACGCCGCGCGACGCTGCGCAGCTCCAGGCTGTGCCCACTGGAGCAGGGCCGGGGCTCTCCCGCTCGCAGTCACACAGCGCAGCTCGCACCGGGCTGCGCCACCGCCCCGGGCCGCCCCGCCGTCCCCGCAGCGCCCGGCGCCGGAGCGGCTCCCGGCCGATCCCCCGCGGAGCCCCGACGTTCCCGGCAGGCGGCAGCGGAACGCCCCTCCGGGCGGCGCGGCCCCGGCGCACCTTGAGCGGGGGGAGGACGGGGACTCTTATTGTGACACGGCCCTCCTGGCCGCCCGCCGGCCCCGGTGCCACGGCGGGGGCTGCCCGGGGCGGCCGCTCGCACCACCCCCACCCCGGCGAGGGCCCCGCGCGGGGCCGGGGCGCCGCCGGCCCCGAAGAGGAGGAAGCGGGCACGGCGAAAAGCCCTCACCAACTTTGCGAAGCCGCCGCGCCGCCGGCCGCCCTCCGAGCGCCGAACAAAGCCGAACCCCGGGGCGGCGGAGCCCCGCGCTCGGGCCGAGAACCGCGGGACCCCGCGCCGCCCCCGGCCCGGCCCGCCCCCGCCGCTCCTCCCGCAGACAATGCGCCCGACGAGAACTTTTCGCTCGGGCACTTACAGCCGCGCCGCGTCCCGCCGCGTCCCGCCGCCGCTCCCCCGCTCCGCTCCGCGCCGCCCTTTCCTCCTCTTCCCCCGCGTCGCCGCGGGCTCTCCCCGGTGCGGGCTGTCGGCCGCGGCTCCCCCGTGCCAAATAATGCGCTTCTCACACATGGAGTCGCGGCGTCACTCGGCGGAGCATGCGCGCGGCGGGGCCCGGAGCGCGGCGGGGCCGGGAGGAGCGGCGGCAGCGCGGCCCCGCGCCGCTTCCGGGCAATGGTGGAGCAGGTCTGTGACCCGGGGCGCCATTGGCCGGAGGGGTCGCGGCACATGGCAGGCGGGCGGCGATTGGCTGCGGCGCGGGCTGGGGGCGCCGCGCTGCGGCCGCCCGGGGCCACGTGGAGCGGCGGGGGCTGCTGGCGGCGGCCCCGCGGCATTGTTCGGAGCCGCCGGGGGATCCCGGACCGCGGGGAAGGGCTGCGAGCGGCGCTCGGCGGCACCGCGCGGGGACGGGAGGCGGCGGGGCTCGGAGCTGCCGCGTGCTCGCGGTCGAGAACCTCGGGGCGGCTCCCGCCGCTCCGCTGGGGCACCCGAGCGGGAGGACGGCGCGGGGCGAGCCGGGGCTCGGGGCTGCGGCTCGGAGAGCGGCGCCCGTCCGTCCGCCTCGTGATAGGAGACTCCCAGTCCTCCTACGGACTTTCCGCGGTCGGGCTCACGGAGCTCCGGCGCCGCTGGCCGGGTGTCGGGGCTGCGTTCAGCGCACGCTTCGGCCCGGCCCGGCCCGGTCTGCGCCTCCCAACGCGAACGTATCCCGTTCCCCGGCTCCAGCAGCTCGGCTAAGTTCAGCAGCGCTGTGGGCGCTCCCTCCTCTCTACAAGGACGAGGCTTCGGGCTCCGGTGCATATTTCTGGCACCTTTCCTTAAATCTAGCTGAAGGGTGCGGGTAGGAAGGGCTGGGAAGGAGGCTGGGTGCTGGGTGGGGGTCACTCCAAAAACCCCTGTGCCCATGCTTGCGCTCCCTGTCAGCACCTTTCCAGGCCTGATGCTTAAGGAGCAGAACAAGCAGAATTTGGATGATTTAATTCTGAGGCCGAAGAACAGCCTGGAAGCCCCAACAAGAGATGGGGTCCCTGCCCTACCTCTCATTAACACCCCGTATTCAAGCACAGCAGAGCTCAGACCCGCAGTGCTGCCTCATCTCAGGGTCGGCACCGGTCCCCAATGCACCCAGTGCCTTTTTCCCATACAAACGACTGCCCTCCCTCTGGGAGGGTGCAGGTGCAGCACCAGGAAAGCCTCTTCATTAAGGAGACACCAGCCAGGTGCAGCAGCGTGCTAATTACTTAACGAAGGCGCGAGCTGGTGTTGTTGCAATGAGAATCCAGTGGGTCTATCAGCAGAGAAACCCCAAGGCCACCTCTAAAAGTAACCACAGCACAGCTTTATGGCTGGAGTAATGCATCCGAGGCTGCAGGTTCTAGGAAATCTCAAGCAATTACCTAAACAAGGTAATTAGTGAATCTATCAGGCTCTGAAAGAGTCAGCCTGGATGTGCCGCAAACACATCCTTCACGCTCAGAAAAAAACAACAAAGTTGGCCTCCCGTGGGTCCAACCGCCATCTGAACAGCACACAAACAGCACTGAGCTCCACGTGAGATGGAGCAGCCCAGCCTGGCACTGCACTGCAATTCGGCCACAGCCCTCCCTGCTGGGAGCAGCCCCAGTGCTGCTCAGCTCAGTGCCAGCACTGCTCCAGGCTGGGGATTCCCCCTTTTGGGGCTCTGAAATCTCCCACTGGGTGCTATGGGTGCTGTGCATCACCACGCAGCACTTCTATTAAAATAGGCGCTGTTGGATTATGAACATTATTGGATTTTAATCTGAATCAAATACTCCATTCAAATGAAAATCCAATGGTTCGGAATTAGAGAAGCCATTTCTGTAAGCCAACAGCGGCGCCTGCACAAATCTTTGCAGCACCAAGGAGCTGATTTTGCTACGAGGGCAGAATTTGATACTGGGATGCATCCAAAAGGAAGGCATCAATTCCAGGCAAAACTCACAGGAATGGAAGAGGAGATGAAACTTTTCCTGTCTTTATGGGGCCGTTCCCTCACTGCCCGTATCGGGGTGCTGCTGAAGCGCTGTGTCGGCTGCTGCACGGCTGATGCACTGCAGCCTCCATCACCGTTACACACCTGCGTGTAGATTTGAGTTGACGCCACCAGGACGCGGGGCTGATGAAGAACAAGAAGTAAAACAGCAGATTGGGAAGAGTCGCCCATCTCCTTACAGGCAGCCATGCGGGGCGCATGGCAACACGGGAGCGTGGAGTGCAGAACAGGCTGAGCGGGTTCTGGGGCTCAGCCCTGCCAGCACAGCGCAGCCGTCTGATGGCCGCAGGATCCCACAGCCTGCACTGAGCTCTGCTCCGTGTCCCGTGGCAGCAGGAGCTGGCAGAGTTGTTTCTGGTGAGGAGTTTGTGAGCGACCCGCCGCGTCCTTAAAGAGTTAAAGGAAAAAAGAAGGATCAAACTGTAAGCGGTGCTAGAAATCGCAGGAACACAATTTTAAGATGGCTTATGCTAAGAATGAAAGGAATCCCATAGACTCTGGACCAAGAAAACTCCTTTGACTTCTTTTCTGCTGCAACTCTGTTCCTGCACAGCTGCCGGTGGCAGCGGCTCAGGGATACGGCGAGGTGGCCCACAGGTGTGTGACGGCGATGGAGGGCTGCAGCACATCAGCCCTGCAGCACCCAACACACACAGCTCCGATACGGGCAGTGAGGGGAACGGATCCATAAAGACAGGAAAATTCATCTTTTCTGCAACTGAGTGAAAAAGTAAAGATCAGGGAACGGGAAAGCAGCGGATATGCAAAGAGTGCGGGGCTGGAGATGGAGCGATGGCAGGAGCCGAGCCGTCCCTAAACAGCACCTCCTGGGTGGGAGGGGATCTACGAGCAGCTCTGCTCCAATTCAACGAGCTTCACGGACTATCGATTTTGCTCAGAAATGGGAAGAGAACAAAGTCTGCCCGGCCCGGCTCTCGTTTAAAGGCCGGGCTGAGCACACGGGGCTGCCAGGCAGCGCAGCCCAGGCACGGTGCTGGTCGGCACGCAGTGACTCAGCCCTGCAGGGCCATCGCGGAGGGCCGGCTGTAAACAGGCACCTCTCGCGTGTTTACTGACCGCCGTCACGTGGCTCATCAGAACTTGACCCCGATTAACAGATGAATTAACGAGTTGCAGAAAACTCGGCAGTGTTCCCGCACCTCTTGGCTTCCCACGGGCTCCACTGCTGTGTGAAGCAGGACCCCACATCGCAGCTAAAGCGAGAAGGACCCCCAGCTGCTCTTCCTGCTGATGCTACCAAGCCCTCCGCGCTCACAGGAACGTTTCATCCCCAGGCCGCCCCACGGGGAGCACAGTTTGGTCTTTACCACCCTCCAAATTAGATTTAACGGGGGGAAATCTAAGTGTGGCCTCAATAACGAATGGCTTTCACCGGTTCTGGAAGAGACCCAGTCTCTCTGAGCGCTGTTTGCAGCTCTCCTATTTCCTAGGAAAACAGCTTTCGCCTTTCATCCTCGAGGGGACCGTGCTGGTGGCCGAAATGGTTAACTGCTGCAGGAGATAAGGAGCAGAGCGACAGCTGCACAGGGCTGCAGATGCCACGATTACAACTTGGCCTCTCCTGGGGCTGTGCCTGCACAGGGCTGCGTTGCTGACTGCAGGAACTGCACCAAAGATGCTCCCGATTCGATCCTGGCAGCCACATTGAGCTGCTTGGCTGAGCTCTCCATCTGCGAGGCTTCAACGTGAAACTGGAATAGTTGAGAAGTATTTTTAAGCGGGATTTGTGTTTATCCAGCAAAGCATCCTGGAAATGGTGGGATGTGGCGATTCCGGGGGGTGAATGTGATTAATCCATCCCACTAATTGGGTTGGAACACGCTGCCCAGCCAGGGCTGAGCCATCGGCACGCCGAGCACTCGCACTCTTTGCTGGCAGGGCCTGGGCTGTTTGTATAGGTGAGGTTCCAGCACAGCCCCTCCACACAACTCCATCCCGCTGATGGAAAGCCAGAGGTGTCAGAAGGCACAGGAAGGTTCTGCTGCTCAAAATGAGGCTGAGTGGACACTCAGTGCAGCACGCCGCATGCTGCAGGCCTCTGCGTCTTCAGGAGGATTATCTGAGCCTTACGCCATGTTTACTGTAAGCGTTTATCAACGTTGTTCCTTCTGGTAATGTTTATTATCAGCATGCAGAGAACAGCAGCCCGGTCCCCCGGCTCCAGGAGGGCACTCTCTTCCCCCACAGAGCTGTACCAGCTCAGACCCGTAACCTGCTTTCCTGCTGAAAAGCAAGGCGCATCAATTAGATTCATTCTAAATTTAGGATTGATGAGTTCGGTCATTACTGGTCTGATTTATCCAGGCAGATTTCAAGGGAAAGGTATTCATAAAGCAGCCGCCGCTTGCTGAGAGCGCACCAATAGAAGCACACGAGAATCAGTTAGGGAAGAAGAGAACACTGGATCGTGTCGACAGATGTTGGTAAACCATCTTCCAGGCTGAAATTCATCCTGGACAGCAAAGCCAAGCGCTCCTACAGAGCAAAGACAGCGGGGCCACCAGCAAAGCCCATCAGCTGCACATCAGCCTGCTGCACCAAGAGATGCACTCAGTGCCCACAGCACCCCGAGCTCCACCGAATAACCTCACGTTTGGTCAATAAGTGCAAAGAAGGACAGCCCAATTCTTATCATCGGGCTCCCAAGAGATTTGACATCCTTGGCATTGTGTCCTAAGAGGAAGGAAATTTCTCACTTCCCCAGCTATTTCAGTTATATAAATCAATTGTTGAAGGGTAGCTGAACCGGTCTGCACATAGGAAGCCAGGCCGCTGCCCAGGGCTGTTACACATGGGCAACACCAAGATGTGGCCCCTGGGTCCCTCGGCACCATCACCAACACCAGCCCCCCTCCACCATCGGTCGCCTCCTATGAGCCACCTCAGGTCGCTCTGTGAGCATCAAGCTACCGGTTTGCAACGCCAGGCAACCCAAAGGCAAACACTGCAGGTATGCTGGTGCCTCACCTGCTCACTAACGCCTTAATTACCTGCAGCAAGGACTGATGAGGCAACAGAATCGAAGTGTGAACGTTGTACAATGGAGCTGCAGTAAGGACAGGGCAACTCGCACACGGCAATGGTGCATCCATGGGTCCAGCCCTGCTGTGGCCGTTCCTGTCCCCCCCCAAAGCTGAATTTGAACTCTCCTGACCAAAAAAGACCCAAAGTTTGTTCTCCTGTGATTGAGATGGATTTGGTTGGTGTGATTTGGTTCCGTAAAACAGAGCACCTGTTACCCTGTGACTCTCTATGGCAGTCGGCCCTGCAGTGTGCACGCAGCACCCGCTGCCTCTGGTGTTCAAACCAGGGCAAAAAGCAGCATTAATAAGGCTTCCAAAACCATCCACGCTGCAGAAAAGGGAACCGATCAGCACAGGGGCACTCTTTAGTGTCCCCTCGTTACTCCTTGGCTGCAGCTCTCATTGGTATTTTCGGCTGCAGGCCAAAATTGTGAAAGCAGATACTACATCAGCCCAGCAAGATGATGGAACCCCAACGCCCTGCATGGAGGGAGGGCACGAGCGGCAGGCTGGGGGGAAGCGCTTCTCAAAGAGGTGCTCTTCCAAGCAGGAGCACTGGGGGTATTTCACACCATGGTAGATACTGCAGAACCCTGCATGCCAAGAGGTGCGAGCAGCCCGCAGGATCTGAGAGCTGGGCAGTTCTAATTTGCTGCTCCATGCTGGCCTGAGCAGTAGGAAAGCTTCAAGTCCTTCTTCCACAGCACCAGGATACCACTAGGAAACACCCTCCTCCATAAACAGAGTAAATCTCCACTATTGCTTTTACTCCTCCTCCCCACTTCGGGAAATGGCAGCAATGCACTGCCGGGTTCTGCGGGCTCAGCGGACTCCCCAGCTTCACACCGAAGGTATCAGAGCCAAAAGCATCAAACTCTCTTTGGCCCAAAAAGCGGAACTCCATCGAGATGAGAGCCATCCACTCACAGCTAAACCCAGCCAGGGCTTTTTCTCCTTCTTGCTGCACTAAGGAGGTTGACACCGTAGTTCTGCCTCTCACGCACTTGAAGCACTCAGTCTGTCACGATGGGAACTGGGCAATTAACTTGGGATGAAAGCTACTTCACATTCTGCGAGGAGCTCTCAAAAGTTAGAACGCTTGTTTCAAAGAAGGAAAAATAAAGCACACAAGCTGCTTTTTGTCTTTTCCTGGTCCCCAACTCGCTGCTTGCAGACAATCTGCCTCCCGCGCAGCGCTCCGGGATCGCTCACAGCACTGAGATGGGATGGAGGCACAGGGCAGCACCTCAGGGCCGTTCTGTCTGCCTGCTCACATCGCCAGGCTGCTCCCTGTGAGCTTCAGCCACTGCCTGAACTCAATAAACTCCCAGAAAAGCCTTCAGAAAAAAGCGATCGGAGTGAGATGAGGAGAGCTCAGCCTGCAAGCTCAATGTAAAGGCAGATTGCTATGAGAAATTCATCTTCTCTCGGCAAACTTTCTGCTTGCTGCACTCTGGAAGAGAGCTGCAGTCCTTCACACGGTTTTCTCGTGCTCCGTGCTGAACTCATTCAAACAAACGTCAGCAATGCCGGGTTCCCGACTCGTTCAGCCGTTACATTTCAGTGTCCTATTCAGGTGAAGCAGAAAGCAGAGCGTTCCTTTGCCTTACAGCCCTTCATCGGCAACGCGCTGCCAAGAGCCCGCATCGCATCGCATCGCCGCTCTCCTCGTTCTCAGCCCGGCTTTTCCATCGCGGAAGGGAGAGAAAAGTTACGAGGAAGGCTGCGGATCGATGAGGAATCGCGTTCCGAGCGGCACACGGCAGGCCGGGGAGGGGGAGGTGCGCGAAAGGTGGCAGAGCACAGACAGGACACAACTTTATTCGGAACCGCGTTCGCTTCGCCTACGAACCCAACGGCCCCCAGCGCGGAGCGGCGGCACCGCCGGGAGGAGAAGCGCGCGGTGGGAGCGGGCGGGGATCGCGGCGCGTTTCGCACCGCACCGCACGGCGCTGGCAGCGGCCCCGCACGCACCTCCATCTTAGGATCTTCGGTCCCGCGGCGGCTGCGGCCCATCTGCCCCCCCCCCCCCCCCCCAGCCCCTCCCCCACGCGGCGTTCTGCTCGCTCTCCCCCCACCCCAACTTGCTCCCTCTCCCCCCCCACTCCCCCCCACCCCCCAGGCACTCTGCGCTGCCGCCCCTCCCCCCGCTTGCCCTCCCTTCCCCTCCCCCCCTCCGCCGCCGTCGCCCATCGCGGGGCGGCCGTTCCCGCGGGCAGCTCCCGGGATGCGGCCGGGCATTGCGGGCACCCCTCCAACCAACCCCCCCCCCCCCCAACCCCCCGCACCACGCGCGGCTCTGCCTTGAATTTTTCTTCTTTTTTTTTTTTTTTTTTTTTTTTTTAATGTGACCCCCCCCCCCCCCCACCGGCTGTTCGGGTGGCGGTGCCCCCCCGCCCCATCATTATCGTTCCCCCGCGGCTCTCAGGGCCGCCCTCCCCTCAGCGCCCCTCACAGCCCCATTGCCCCCCCCTTCTCCCCCCCTTCCCCTCCTCTCCCCTCCCCGACCCGTTCCCCTCAGACCCCTCTGGGCGCCCCCCCGGGACCCCCCCCCTCTCTCCCCGTCCCCTCAGGCCGGGGGGTTCCGCCGCTGTCACGCACTTCCTCACCCCCTCGGAGCCGCCTCTCCTCCTCAGCGGGGCCCGGGCCGGACTGGGGCCGTGGGGGGAGGGGAGGCGGCTCCCTCAGGTGGCCACTGACAGGAGGCGGGCGGGGGAGGGGGCTGCGCGCGCAGGGGACCGCCTCGCGCCGGGCTCCCTCCCGCCCTCTCCCCCCCCTTCGCCATTTCCCCCCCCCGGAGGAGCGGGACTCCCGGGGTGGCGCGCGCGCCACCAACCGTCACCTCCTCGGGACGCCTTTCCCGCCCACCCCGGTTGCTAGGCAGATTTGGACAAACTTGAAGCTTCGCCCCGCCCTCTGTTCCTTTCGCCCCGCCCCCTCCGCCCGGGAGGCGGAGTGTTGGTTTTAGCCTTTTTTTTTTTTTTTTTCAAGAGAAGATTGACGGCTGCGCTGCCCAATGAGAAGTCGCGGTGGCCAATCCCTCCAGCCAATCGTGGCCACAACCCGCCTTCGGCCGGCCCCCCCAACGTGAAGCCGCGAGGAATGAGGAGGGGCGATTTTATGATCGAAAGGCATGCTGACCAATAAGCTTCAAACGACGCCGCGAGAGTGGGCAACCGGCAGCCAATGCGCGGGGAAGGGGCGGGGCCTGGCCGCGAGGCGCGGGGTGGAGCCGCCCCCGAGGCCGGCTGAGGTGAGGCGCTGCCCGCGGGGAGGAGCCGCGCCGCCGCCCTTCTCCGCCCGCGCAGCGCCGCCTGGGGCCCGCGATAGGGCCGGCCGCCCCCGGCTCCCCGCCCTGCCCCGGCGGCGGGCCCCGGTGAGTCATCCCGCTTCCTCCCGCGATGTAGGTCGGGGTGCGCGGGCACCGCCGGGCTCTCCGCCACGCCTCCGGTTTTAACCCTTCCGCTCCGCGGGTCGGGGCCGCCCGGCTTCGGCCGCCAACCGAGGGGCGGTCCGGGAACCGCCGGGATCGCGCGGATCGGTCGCAGCGCCGCACCGAACGCCGCGCTCCGGGCAGCGCCAGGATCGAACAAACGTTCGCAATGAACGCAGCGTTCCGTAGCTCTTTTGTTTGAAAACCCGAAGTCTTACGTTTTGCCATAAAATCGCTCCCTTCCAGCCGTCTCTCAGCCCCGTTCCGGCGGTCCGGAGCTGCAGGTGCTGCTGGGGCTGCCGCGTCTCCCGAAGAAACGCCTCGATCTTCGTTCACCTCCCCGACAGCCGAAGCAGAGATCTGAAATCTCCATCGGTGACTTTTCCCGAGGCCGTTTGGGTCAAAGTTTCACGAAGCGAGCGGCTGCTTGGAACAAAACCTGGTGTGATGTGAAGGGCTGGAGGAGCGGCTCTGGAAAGGGACCGTATGGCAAAAGGTCCGAAATGTTGCTTCAAAGTTTCACTGCAGATGGATCAGCTCTAAATTTCAGATAGAAGTGTGAAAATGCCTGCCTGAACTGCTCCGGTTCTGGGCTAGAGAGGCAGAAAGCACTTTTAAACCAGATCCCGTTTGTGATGATCAAACTTGAAATCCTCCCTGAGTGCACAGCTTCTGGCTTAGACCAAATTAAGAAATAACCCCAGCTGTTCCACCAGAAGCCTTGTTGTAACCCTGACATCTGCCAGCTTCCAGCAGTCCCTGCAATTTCCTGGCCACATCAGCCTTCAGCAGCGTGCAGAGGTGAGCAGTCAGGTCCCCCATCAGGTAATTCCGGTTCTCCTTCCAGGGCAGCAGCTCAGGTACAGCTGCAAGGCAGCCCAGGTCCTGGCAGGGCGATGGGAAGGGCCCTCTTTGGGCAGCACTGCCTGCAGATGGGCTGAAGGAATCAGTATTTCACCAACTGCTAGAAGAAAATTAAACTTTATTTAAAAATTCTTCTAACGTAGAAAACGAGAGGAAACAAAGGCAAAAACGAATGCCCCCGGTTCCGTCTCATTACAGGAGTTACTGTATGTACAGCTTCAGAAAGGAGCACTGGCAGAAGGTACACATCCTACTTATGGAGCACTACAAACACTTAACAATACCTTGTACAAACCTGACGTAACATTGAAAGGTTCACTGCAGGAAACAATTAAATACAGTCGCTCAGACAGACAGTAGAAGAGCACAGACTGATGGTATTTCATCCCGAATCCTCCGTGTTCCAGGCAGCCTCGACCACCCTCCATCAGTCCCCACTGCTTCGGTGAGAAACTGCTGCGTCCCAAAGGACTGGGATCCGCGTGGGCTGGAGCTCAGCGACACAGAGAGGAAAAACAACCAAACCCTTTCTATCGCAGTTCGACTTGCTGGCAAACGTGGAAAGCTGAATAAAAAAGCAGTGAAGCAATGTTGTGCTGCGCCTGTAGGCGGCGTCACAGCTGAAGGCCCTGCTCGTTTAGCAGTGTACATTTTTGCACGTGTGGGACAACAGAGAAAGCTCGTGAGTTTTCTTTCTCTGTTTTTGAATTCCCTATCCCCAAAATGAATTTGATTTCACATGCACGCAGGCCTTCCTGATACCCATTCTGTAGGAAATGGCGAACACTGTTCTTCAGACTGCGTTCTCTATACATATATAAGTTTTTACACTATCTACAAAACAGTGATTAGATGTTTCTGTTTAAGTTCTTGCTACTCATTTAAAAATACCAGAGAAAAACTGTACAGTTTCCTAAATTACATCTTTAAAAGAATAATTTTTTTTTTTTTTTTTTTTTTTAGAAGTTCATAAAAGACTTCGTGTTTGCTTTTATAGAGAATTAAATGATCGGACAAGAAAGATTAGAAATACATTGTTCAAATGGAGTCAGACAGACCGAGCAATTAACAGAACGTTGTTTGTAAACTGTAAACTTCTGGTTTTCTGTTCAGCTTTACATCCGCATCCAAAAATTAGGAAGAACTTCAGTCTCGAGGTCCTTGTTTTAATCTCTGCTACATACAAAAGATACTGAAAAGCACAAACTATTAAATAATTTAATATACAAGCGTAGTTAAAAAGCACTGTACATTGTAACAAATGTACACTTGAATTTCAGAGATAGAAAATCACCGAGCTATTTCCAAATTTACACGACTTCCGATAGTGTGCGATGGGGAAAAGCCGAGGGCAGCTCTGCGGGCAGCAGCTCAACCGCTGCACCTGAGTTCCGCTGCACGCGAAGCAAAGCTGCCGTGTCACGGCCTGGGATCCCACCTCCGTCCTCCTGCCGTGACAAATGGAGCCGCCGCGCGCAGGCAGCGCTTCTGCTGAGGACCCGAGCGTGCCGACATCAGATGCGAGCGGACGGCCGCTGCCTCCGGGCCTCCGTTCCCTCCTGAGAACATCAGCAGGGATTTGAGCTGTGAGCAGTTTGGTTCGTGTGACGAGGAGCCGGGAATCGCAGTCCTCAGCGACGCAGCTCCCCGAGGAAGGTGAGGGCGGGAGATGCAGCTCCTGTGTGGCACCGGGGGACCTTTTCTGCTGCAAAATCTCTTCTGGACTTCAGCCTGAACCACGGCTCGCTACAGTTGGGGTAATTTTTTAAATATTGCCTTATAGAAGCAGCACTTCTCTGGCCGACTTTTAAAGCCACTTATTGCAGTTGCCATGGGCGTCTTATCAGGTTAAGCAACAGCCTCAGATTGGGTGGCAGAGTGAAAACAAAGAGTTTGTATCATCCGAACGGGACTGTGGGAAATGTTAGAGCACTGAGTGCTGATTTGCACAGCTGCGGCCGTTCCTCACACCTCACAGGAGCTGAGCTTCAGGTGGATGGCAGCCTGGGAACACTCCATCCCGACCAACAGCATGGCGAGAGCAGCAGCTTCCATCTGCGCAGACCCTCCCTGTGTCTGATGCATCCCTGCAGCTCACAAACCTCACAGCCTTCCTTCTTCTTGGAGTTTTTAGGGAATAAAACAGACTTCAAAATAGCACTGAACTTCCTTCTGCAACCCCTTACAGCGATACTGAGGACATGTTTTCCCTACTGGAGATTTGACGACGCCTAAAACACACACAGCTTCTGCAGGATCTGAATCTGAAAACGGGATCTGAATCTGCCCTGCACGTCCAGTGGGATGAGCATAAAACCCCACTGAGGGGATGAGGATGTGTCCCTTTTATGCCATTCAGTGGTTAAAACCAAAGGGTTTGAATTACAAAACGTGTCTGCGTTTGCTGTTGCTTGACAGGGAGAAGGGTTTTCCAATAGGAGGACCATTAGAGACAGGGTTCAGTCTTCCTTGAGGGGGTCAAACACTTTCTCTCTCCAAAAAAGCACACAGACCTACCAAAGGAACTCAGCTAACAGATTCCTTTCCCTTTCCCTTTTTCAACTGAGTGATAAATATGCAGAGCTACCAGGAGAGGGAAAAAAAAAAACAACACCTACCTTTATCTGACCCTTGGAACCCTGTAAGGTTACACTGCACTGCAGCAGCCTGGCACAGCTCCATGGGATTGACAACTTCTGTACTGTTTGCTACTGAAGGAATTTGGGCCACGCTTATCCTGCTTCAGGACAGCTGCAGAGGCACGGGGAGACCAAGGAGCTCAAAAAAGGGAGATAAAACAGAGGGGCTAACACAGAAATACTTTTTTTTGCTAAGCGCAACCCTCTTGCTTCTATGGGAACTGGCTTCAACCACCTGGCTGAGCTGAACCCTCACTGGTAGAAATCATTAAGGCACAGACACTGCCTTGCCTTGGTGAGGCTGCAGGATGCTAAAAGCTGGGCCAAAATGAGAAGAAATCTCCTCCTCTGGTACAAATCGCTACAAAACAGCGGAGATGAGGGAGCTGCAGTTCTGGTTCTGCCTCACCAGCAGTGCAGGGACACGGAAAGGAGACCCTGATGGGGACAGCGGTGGCACAGACTGTCACACGCTGACAGCCCCAGGCCGTGGGATCTGCAGCTCTGCTCCTGCCAAGGAAGTGAGAGCCGCATCCCTCTGCCCTCAGCGCACGACGAGAACCAAGCGTAGAACTTTAGGGCACCTACAGCCAGTCAGGATTGAATCCCGTTGTTCCCAGGAGCGGAAGGGCAGAGAAGATGTTAAAACTGGCATGCATTGTAACTCAGGGAAGGTTTGAGCACTTAGAGTACAGCTGGCATTCCGAACTGTGCAAGTCCTCTCAACTCTCTGTGACAAATTAAAAACCCAAGTCTAACAGCTTAAGGAACGAGCGTCCTTTGGACTAAACCTTACTTCTCAGTAAGAGGAAAACAGATTAAAACCAGTAGGTATATACACTCTAGCTGTATATTCACACATGTTATGTAAAAGTAGCTCAAAATGCCCTTCTCACTTTGCAAGTCTATGAAATGTATGTTGTCTTTATGCAGTTTCCTACAAGGCCCTCGCTAGAAGAGGAATTTGCTGCCTTTTCTTTGAAGAAAAGATTTTGCAATGAGTTTTTCTCCTTTTTTTTTTTCTTTTTTTTTTTTTTTTGGCTTTTTTTTTTGTTGGTTGGTTGGTTTGTTTCTTATTAAACACACTGTCCTGATTGTGTTTCACAGGAGACTGGCCAGGCTGGTGGTGGGTCCGTTCTGTGCCTGGAACTGTACGGGAGGTGGTCCGTCTGTCCACTGCAAGATAACAAACAGCATGAAAACCCTCCAGCCACCACCTGGGAAGGGGAGGAGCAGCAGCAAGGCCAGAGGAAGGAGCTGCCCACACACATTGAGGTCATCACTGATTTCATGACAAGCTGAGCGTCAGGTTGGACTCTGTCACACACACGGAACAAGGGAAACTGTGGCCTGCACGAATGACAGACCTCAATTCAGATGCTTCTGAGCCCATTCTACACTGCAGCTGTAGGGTTTCCAGAGTGAATAAAAGCCTCTGGTTCTCACCCGTTTCATGCTTTCCTCTCAAATTTATCAAAATCTCCTGAAATAGGCAGATCTCATGGGTTTTAATCCTCCTCCACCTCCACATTTTTAATCTAGCATGGATTACGCGTAAGCCAGCAATGGCAAACAAAGTCAGCAGAGCACGGAGCTCAGGGGGACAGGCTGTGGGCATCACCAACACGGGCTGCAGCACACCATCCCTCTGCAGCCAAAGCAATCTGCTTCTTCCTGGCAAAAGCCTTTTTTTCCTCCCACGAAGGGAATGTTAGGAAAAGATGTCAGGTTTCCTCGCCTCCCAAATTCACATTTGGAGGTTATTTCGGTCTAAAAGAATGGACCATCTTTCACCCTTGCTGAATTCCAGCATAAGAGAGCACTTTGGTATTTGTGAACAACGTTAAAAGTGAGAAGTCCAAAATAGGAACCCTTAAGGTAGCAGCTAAACAGACATCAAACATCATTAGCTGGAAATTCAGATTTATAGATAAAGGTGAAAACCCACAAACACTAAAATTATATCAATAGAAACCATTCTTAGAGCAGTACTCAAAGCATTCCCTAGAAGAAGGGGATCTGAACATTAAAATGAAACCTGAGAATACATTAATTTTCTTTCAAAAGTAGCAGCTCTCACCCAAACGAAGTGGCTACCTGCTGCAAAAGGCATTAAAAGAAAGTTCTGGAGTGCCAACAAAACCACTGGAGGAAACAAAGACCTCACAGGGATATCAAAGGAAAGCAAAGCACGTTGTCCTGCCTCAACAGCGCTCATAACCAGGAGATGAAGATTGCTTACCGTGATTAAATTGTGTTCTGGAAGACTGCAGGCTTCAATGTGGTCCTGGAGGAGCTGCTGGGAGAAGTTCTGATGCATCTGTGCTGCCTCGTGTGCATCCATTGCGTTTCCACAGGCTTTGTTCAGGTCTGCAGGACAAGAGCTTCATTTACTCCCTGAGAACCACTGTTCAGACTTTTATGTGACACAACTCTTCCCTTACAGTAATGAATGAATGATTTAAACTGCCAAGACATCAAGGCCACCCCGCTCAGAACAGGCAGGGGCAATGAAGAACCCGAGCCCTTCCTCCTTCCAACAGGCCTGGCAGCACACAGGATTCGATGTTCTTTCAGTTTCCAATCATTCAAATAACACTAATTGGACGAGGAGGAAAGCGCCTCCTCACCCCGCCTGTGCTGCAGGCTCTCACTCTGTGATCTGGCACCATCTAGTGGGAACGAGGGCTGGTTTGGAGCACGCACCTCACAGCAGCACTTCAGTTATTCTCCCTCCTCGTTGCCCTTTGCTTTCAGGCCCTCACAGCCTGCTGCTCTGCCCATCCCCAACGCAGGTCCTACTGTCTCCTGCGTTTGCTCAGCCAGATTTCAGACTGGTAACACACCAAGCATTGCAGTGTTAGCTAACAGGGATAAGAAGCATAGAGGTGAGGGATGAGACACACAGCTCCTGTTGGTGAACAAGTGCTGGCATTCCACTGCTCCTGATGGAGCACCTCTTCAAAAGAGAATCTAGCAGTTCCATGGGAAAGCTCTTAAAAAACCAAAGCAGAATGGGAATGGTGCCTCCGTGACAGGAGCAGCAATGGCTGAACAAGGGGCAGCCTTTCATCTACAGCAGATTCATCATCATTGCTGGCACGTTTCGTACGTCAGCCACCACTTGGAAACGAGTTATTTCGATTGCCTGGAAGCAGTTTTGCAGCACAGGCAGTAGCAAAGCAGAACATAAGCCTGGCCCAGTGCTTGGTTTACAGCACCATCCTTGCACCAAACACGACAGCTTAATGGAAACCGAAAGTGTGGGGTGAGTTCTTGGAAAAGGGGCAGATTTATTTTCTAGTGCTTTATTTTCTAGTGAAAGCAAATCAATTGCAGCATTAATGCTGACAGTCTGCCAAGAAGCTGGTCAATATCTGAACAAAGCATCCTGGGGCCCATGTAAGTCAGATTAAACAATATTTATGTATGAGTGATACAGCAGTCTCCTGTATTTATTAAGGCCCCCACGTAGAAGCAAAGCTTAATAAAATGTTTACTACAGCAAGAGCTGCAGTCAGAGCAAAGCGACAACAGCATGGATGCTGCATGGCTGTGCTTCCCATGCAGTCACAGCATTCTGCACAGCCAGGCACCCAGTCTGCACGATGAGCATCTCCACACCGACCCCAGAGAGCAGCAACAGATCTTTGCCACTTCTGAACACATTTTCCTCACTTACCTCTCAGCAGAGCTGAAGACCACAGCTGCACAGACATATCCGGGATCTTGCTTGCAAGCTGCATGGCTGGCACTACCATATTATTACTTTCCTGGTGAAGAGCAGACATCAACATCAAAGATGTATTTTTTCCCCTTGCAAATATGTAATATATCAAAGAGAGGCTGAATTTGAGACTGAAATTTTGCCTAATTTAATTGCTAGCTAGCAAGCTGAAATCTTAACGGGACAATAACCCAAACATCATCTAAAGCTGTCTGGAGTTTTGCTGTGTCCTAGGAATGATGTTGTCTGTCCTGTGCAAGATAACAGAAATATTTCACACATTCTGGCATATGATAAAAATTCAGAAGAGCTCACACCCACAATTCCTCCCAAACCATCCCACTGCATGACGCCCCTTGTCCTTCATTCTGTTCTTTTGTTTCCCCTGAGTGATTTCAGGCATCTCCACAACAGGAATCAAGCACTGCTGCTCTGTTGAAGAGTTGCTCAGCGTGGACCAATGGTGTCGTGTCCTGCCAGCTCCCAGTGGGGCACCTCCATACAAACACTCCTAAACACAACTCGAGGGAGCGCCCCGATTTGGCAAATCAATGCTCAGACACACGAAGGCTCACCCTGTGATTCCCTAACACGTAGAATATATGGCCCAGGAGCACCAGGGAACATGCTGTCAATCGATTCAAATCTTCTGCATTTGACATTTTCAGCGTCTCTCGCAAAAACCTCCTGCCAACACAGAGCACAGCACGAAGGTTGAACCAAAATCTGCTTTCCCTGAGGTTTTTAAGAAATGTCATTAAGAACCCAATGAACCCCATCAGCAAATAGGAGCACCCAGGAATAACCGTGTGCTGCAGGTGACTTTAAAGCCCAAAACGCTCCGTTCCCAACCTCACCTCTCATTTAGCATGAAGGATTTGAACACATCCCCCTTTGAAAAGCCTTTCTTTCAGATGGGCCACTGCAGAACACCACGCAAGTGTTTCTCAGAGCAAAAGAGATGTAAAACAGTCTTTGCCTCAAGCGAAACAGGAGGCTGGCTAAACCTACAGGGAACCCAGGAGGTTGGAAAGCAAAGCCTCCGGGTTCTCATGTTGAGTTTAAATCCTGATCTGGTTTTTCCTCCTCCCCACCTTCCAGGCGCAGCGCTTCGTACTCACTTTGCCTCGTTGTATCTTCCTTGGAAGAAGGAGAACAGACCTCGGATATAGAAAGCTGCTGCTCGAAGGCAGTGGGAGCTACAAACAAAGCAGAACGTTGACACTGAGGGACTGCAGTGACAAACAGCACAGGCACGTTGTGAGGGATTGAGCCCCATAACCAAAGCTCTGCACAAAACGTTTAACACACAGTCAGAGCTTCTACCTTGAAAAGAAGAGGATTATTCTGTTTTCTTTGAATAAAGCCCGATACAAAGCCAGTATTACCATCATCAGTGCAACATCAGCACAGTTTCTGGAACTCTCACCTCACAGGAAAATTGTGGTCTGGATTTATCCTTTCCAATAAGCTGTAAAGCTACAAAGTGAGAGAGGGAAAAAAGACAATCAGTGCTTCTGACACACAGCTGATGCTTTAGACAGCAAGAATCTGACACAAGGTGCACCTCGCATCAGAACATTCAAGTCACTACAAACACACTGAAAATGTCCATTCTGGTCCTAGAATCGAGTTTTATACAAGAGATGACCTTTGAAACGTCATAAAAATGACTATAAACTGTTCATGCTTCCTCAGAAAATCCTTAGCTGTCATTTAACTCAATTGCTCCAGACCCAAATGCTGTCTCAGATTTGTTTGTTAGTCCAAACAAAGCTTGGCAAACTGTCCAGAGGTCCCCTGTGCTACTGAAAGTCTGCTCTTAGGAACAGGCTGCAAGTTCTGCTCCAGCTGCTGTCTGCAATCTCTAGACCTGGACTGCCTTCAAGAGCATTGGTTAGACTCCTTTTGAACAGAGATGTGCAACTTGTTAGCTGAAGCAAATATACTCTATAGCTACATAAAGGTTAGAAATATTCAGATGTCATCAGGTATCAGAAAATGTTAGCCTATAGCTAGGCTGATTTTAAAAAATAAAGAAACGTAAATAAAGACCCAAGGAGATTTGATATGACTGAATCATTTGTCATTAGTCTGTGTTTAAACTTCAGTATGCATTTTATTTCAGTTATTGAAAGGTGGATAAAAAAGTACCTTCCTGAAGGCCATTGTTAAACCCTTCCTCCAGCAGAGGTAATTTACGTATCACCCAACATTTGTGTTGGTACACACTGGTATTTGTTTACAGTGATATAATTAAGTTTGCTGTAGCTTCGTCTTATGATGAAGGTAAATAAAAAAAACACATTCTGTCAAACCAGGAAGGAACCATGCAGAAAAGGGAAACTTGTGCAGAGCTGCAGGCAGGCTGCAGTGGGCGCTCACCTCCTGGTGCCGGTTGCCTTCCCTGATGTACACACTGGCCAAGTTTGTCACAATGAATGCCCACAGCTCCTGGTGTGTAGTGAGCTAAAACAAAGCACAGCCAAAATACTTCAGCGCCCAGCCCAGAATTACTTCAACCCATCTTTAATACAAACAAAAAGAAAGAAAACGCTCAGATTTGACGCCTGATTTTTTTAGCTACAAATTCTCCTGTCCTGAACCCTGGTCAGCAGAGGAAAATCTGAACTAATGCAATTAATACAGTCTTCAGACTTTCGGCCTCACCTATCTGGTGCCCCAAACAATCACAAGCCCAGCCACCACATTGTGAGA